GGGAACCATGAGACAGTGTTGTTTAATGTGGAAGACCGGACGTGGAGTGTTTGCAAAATCAAAATAAAATACTCTGGAGTTGAGCACAAATCTTTTGAGAAAACTGACACTGAAACTTATAAACTGTCATTTTCACAGTTGTTGACCTAATTGTAGATCACTTGTTACTATTTTTTTCACAAGAAAAATCTTTAGTGGTGTATTGTAAGACTTAAATTGTTAAACTGCCATATTTACAGTAGTGGACTTTAGTGTTAGAATAGCTAGTAGATATCAATTTGCTGTTATGGTTTAATTAAAAATACCTTTAATCCTCAAGTAATCAGAAAAGTAAAGTGTTAAAAGATCAAAATCGGAAACCAAGTTACAACAACAAGTAAAAAGAGTTTATTTTTTTGTTATTGTAATAGTTTTATATTATATTTGTAATTATGCTGTAAACAAATGGCCAATTTTTTATATTCTAAGTCTAAAAGTCAGTATCGTGATACGTATGGCATCGCAATATGCATCGCATTTCTTCAAAGTATGCAAAACATAGCGTGAATCACATCGTTTTGAAAAACAAATATCGTGATATGTATCGTGACAGAAAAAAAATGGCAATGCACAGCCCTATGTCACACAGTAAATCTTACAGGAAAAATATAAAACTTTCTACAATGATAAAATTCCCCCTCCTATTGCATTTTTCCCCCTCCAAAGGGCACCAACCCCCTTCCCCCAAAAGTGAAAAAAACACACTGATTTACAAATAAGGTTAAATTTTTTCTTATAAGTTCCAGTCAATCAGAAGTTTTTTGTCGCTCCTCATCTCTGATTTCTGTATTTCAGGCTGCTTGGACAGACTGGTCCTCATGTTCAGAAGCTTGTTGAGAAAAATGTCATCAGTGTCACATCAAAGCTCATTGACAATGATGTAGACGCACTGAAGTCGTCTGCACTAAGATGTATACACAGTCTATCTGTCCATGGGTAGTAGAATTATTCTTTTTTTTTCTTACATTTCAAAAATGGAAGAAGTTGTTTTTGGATGGAATTTGGGTGAAAAATATTCTTTTATAAGACTGAAGGCTGTATGATTTTAATGAAGAAAAATAATTAAAGTGGAACACTAAGAGTTCCTTGTATTTTTTTTTTAATTTGTAAATATGTACAGTGTAACTTCCGAAAACCGAACACCCATGGGACTTGTCAAAAAGTTCGGATTTCAGAGGTTTCTGGAATTCAGAGGTTAATGATAATGTGGACAAAACTAAACCACTTAATATCACTAAATGTCAAGGAAGATGTGGCCATTACTGTAATATCATATATAATAGTCTTTTAATCAAGATAAAGATGTGAATGAAAAGAATACATTTTTATCTTACACCTGAAAATGCTTTCGAATTTCTATCAGTTTGTAGAAATGTTGTTAATTGCATAAACTTACATATCGTCCGATGCTAGTTAATTAATTATTACATCAAATGCAATAAAATCCCTATAGACGTTTGATGCATACATTGTCCCAACTAATTGTGATTTAGTCCGCTAATAAACACTTCAAATTAACTGACCGCGGTAAATTACTTTGATTAACCGCATCACTTCAAACATACCATTTCACAGTTTGTGATTTTAACGCGTGTCAAATTACACGATCACCGCTAATTAGTAAACAATCGATAGGGAGATTAAATCTTCCTGCAGGGTAAACATTCTCGATTTACAATGCATTTCACACCTTTGGATATTTCCGGTTTTCGGAGGTAAAATTGCATTGATTTGACTCTAATTTTACGAAAATATCGTCCGGAATTCAGAATTTAGAAGTTCCGGAATTCAGAAGTATTATATTAATAGAAAATAGAAGGGGAAAAATCGGGACCGAAAATTGTGTTCGGTTTTTAGAAGTTTCCGGATTTCAGAAGTTCCGGAATTCGGAAGTTACACTGTATAAAAAATTTTGGTTACCATAGCAAATTCATCAAAAAGTTCCTGATATTTCAGTTCTGTACTTTTCTGTTGCAGAAGTACTCTCCTATTTGCCAGACAGGTGATAGCTTCAGGTAAAATACCCTACTTACTATCACTAGTGAAAGAGTCCAATATAGAAGCATTCCAGATAGTCACTCGTCTCTGTGAGCATCACAACTTCAGAGCCGAATTCGGGAATTCAGGGGGAATAACCATGTTTTATGAGGAGTTTTCATCACAGGAGCCTTTCTGGGAATATCTCAGAGAAGATCTATTGAGTGTGCTTTGTCTGTGTTGTAAGGAAGCTGTAAATAGAGTTAAACTCCGAGACGAAAACGTTCTGCGGTTTTTCATACAGTCCCTAGAAGATGTTAAGTTCCAAACATTACATGCACGAATTATCAGTGCCCTAGTTTGTTTTTTGTATGATGAGACAAGTTTCGATGTGCTCCTGGAAAACGGTCTAGTCCCTTTATTGATAAACCATTTAAAAACTTATATAATGCAAGAAAATGATGATGGTGATGATGATAATGATAGTCATAAAAAAGAGAAAGAAGCTGTTATTGATAAACCAAAGGACAAAGAAGTAGCCACAGATCCACATGATTCTAAGCAGACCGCTGGAAAAATAGGAGAGATTGAAGACAATGAACCAAAGTTAAACACTGAGCCCAATATTAATAAAGATATTGACCCTGCACAAGAAATAAAACCAGAAATTGAAGTGGGACAAGATGTATGTCAAGACAATCAAGTGGAAGATAAGTTGGAGAATAAAACTGAAGCAGGTTTAGAAGATACTGAACAACAGGAGACTGAGGTAATGAAAGAGTCTGATGATGGTAATGAAAAAGAAACCAATGAATTTAACACCAATCAAGGTGCTGGAAAGATAACAAAAAGACCTGTATACAGTATAGACAGTCCAAGTTATAGGTCCAGTGTGGAATGGGAACCTCAGGATTATCAAGGTGCAAAGTGCATCGAAAGATTCACACCTCCTCATTCATTTGAGTATTCCCTGAAGAGCTCCTATAGTCCACTTAGCAATTGTTCATATTATTCTCCTGGAGAAAGTTCTCCAGAGTACAGCCCACCATCTTCTCCAAATACCAGTCCAAGTCCACAGAGGGCTAGTAGAAAAATATTCCCAGAAACCAGTCCAAGCAGTTGTCATAGTTACACTTCTTTGACTGGTTCACAGTCTCCAGAAAATTATCACCCGAAATACACAGGCATAAATTGCAAGCTGTATAGGACAACTATAAGTCCTGTAACTAGTCCAGAATGTTCAAAAAGGTCAATATCACCTTTTAACACCAATTTATCAAGTCCAGAAAGAGGCTCACAGGAAGAAGATGTAAATGATGCACATGATAATTTATTTTTGAACAGCTCTGAAGGAATCTCTGACGATCCATTCACTTTGGAGGAAAGTCCTTTAGTGCCGGAACAAACACAAGCTAAAGTCAAACATTCAGCAGTTGATTCCAGTCAAGGATTTGATTACAAGTTTGACAAGACCGATATTGAAAACACTAGTAATGATCCAGATGGGTTAAACAGTCAATTTATTGAAAAAGGAAATGAGAATTTCAATAAAAAATTATCAACTTTAAAAGAAACGCTTAATAAGGAGAAAGGGCATTGCAAAAGGAAACGGGTTCCCAGCAGAAATAACGTTACGGAATACAACATTTTGGTTCTGTTATCACGGGTATCGCAAATGACTGATCCCACAATGCAACTGGTTACCATGGAAGTGTTAGACGGTTTGTTTGGCTATATGAGCATTATGGAATTCCCACTCGCTCGATGTCCGCGTCTGCTATCAAGAGTGTTCAGAAATCCTTTATGCTTTAACAAGCTGTTGATGCTGAACATCCCGATGAAGATTTTTGACAAGCTTCTGAAGAACGAAGATTTAAACGCTTTAACAAAAGACTTGCATAGCAAGAAAAACATTGTGAAGAGAAAGTCAAGCTATGGGAAAGCAGAAATTGAGCATGAAGTTTCAGCAGACGAAGATAGGTTTTCAGTTAGTGATGACTCAGTAGAAGAAGAACATCTGGGTAAAAGAAGGAAAATAGCCGAAGGAGTCGATAAGTCACAGCAGTCTTTTTCATTTAAAGGTATAACTTTTTTTATATCGTTTTTCGTGTTTTTAAATTTTAAAGAATCTTCATCATATGAAAGAAAACCTTCAAGTTTCAATGCTTCATTTTGAGGCAGACTAGTAACATCACAATTTTTTAATTCTTTGTCAATATTAGACTCTTCAGTCATATTAACATTTTTATACAAATTAATAAAATTCTTACATCTTGTATATTATTGTCTGAAATGCATAAGTTAGGCAAGGCTAAAGAAATAGGAAATAATGAGATTTAAACTTAAAGCAGAAACACATCCATTCAAAAATAATGTATCGTCGAATTGATATTCGAAAAGTACAGTGACTCTATTATAATAAATCATCTATTTGAAATTTCTTATACATGTGTATATACCAGTAATCAACCATGCATTCCAATATGCTTCAAACTTTCATTGGTTAAAGTAAAGTGGTCCAGAATGGAAGCTCTCTAATACCATGAATTGATATGTTGATAGTTCTGAGTATCATACCAGACCACAATTGAACTATACATGTAGATTGATATTGTTGGAAAGTATGAGATACATGATCCAATATTGCTTTGTTATATATAGAAGATGATAAAATTTTCCTAAGACAAAATATTATTATTCATCATATAAATATATGTTTATTCTAAATCACTTAGAGCTTTATCAGCATATTTATTCAGGCAATGTTTTATAAGAATATCCAAATGATAACATTTCTATTGTATTTATTATCAATATTCAAAATACTTCTTGAAAATGTGCTCATTGTAGAGCTATCCACTTTTAACCTTAACCAACTAATTTTCTTAAATGGAATTGTCAAACTTTAATTCTTATATAACTGTCCATTTAAAGTATGTATTAGAAATTTAAAGAAAGCCCAAAAAAGTTAATCTTAAACTTCAACAATACAATTAAAAAAAAGAAAAATATGCATGCAACTTGAAATAACATGCATGCACTTGAACTAAACTGAATATATGTGAATAATTTGAGCATATACTGTGAAAAAAATTGAAATGATATTTTTATGCCCCCGCCATGTAATGGCCGGGGCATATAGTGTTACCCTGTTCCGTCATTCCGTCCTTCCATCCTTCCGTCATTCTGTCATTCCGTCATCATCAGTTTCCGTTCATTATCTTAAGAACGGTTGCACACATTCAACTCAAATTTGACATATGGATATGTCATGAGAAAATACAGGTCAAGTTCGAATTTGGTCATGGTTCGATGATTTTTGGCAGAGTTATGCCCCTTTTACTTTGAAAATAATATGAAATTTCAGTTTCCGTTCATTATCTCCCCAACGGTACAACACATTCAACTCAAACTTGACATATGGATATGTCATGAGAAAATACAGGTCAAGTTCGAATTTGGTCATGGTTCGATGATTTTTGGCAGAGTTATGTCCCTTTCACTTTGAAAATAATATAGATACATCTTAGGAATAAGCAGTTTAAGTTTGAATTTGGTTGTGGTTCAATGATTTTAGACAAACTTATCTTTCCTGAATGTTGGAAAAATTTTGAACTTTCAGTTTCAGCACTCATACTTTTAGCCATTATTTTGGCTACAAATATGCAATATGCTATTTTTAAAAGGTTAAGACTGAATAATTTCAGTGCCTTGAACATTGTATGAAAATGGTTTGTGTTAACATTGAAAAGTTTTAAGGGCTTTGAACTTAAAATGAAAAAAATAATTAATGCACCATCTGAAATTTTGGCTGCATGCGGGGGCATCCGTGGCATGATGACACATTTCTAGTTTGTAATTATGTACAATTATGTACAATTATTATGTACGAGTATTTATAAAAATACTGCACAATAAGATGTAAGACGTAAGTCTGTATCTCAAAGGTCAAGGTAACACTTTCCACTAAATTTTCTCATAAATACCTTCATTTTCATGACCTGTCAACAGTTCTGTCATTCATTGATAAATTTTAGAAAAGCTTTGCATAAAAGTGTTGCATTTTATGATGATGTGTCTCTCACAAGAATAAGATCTCAAGCCCAAAGGTCAAGGTCAAAAACTTGATTTTGAATAGATGGTCATAATTTATGTGGTGTATAAATTTGTTATTTCATGGATAGTTTTAAAAATAATTATGCATAATTATGCTGCTTATATCAAATGACATGTAGTGAACAAGATCCAGCTCAGCATCCCAAAGGTCAAGGTCAAACTTGAATGATCATTTGTCATGATATGATAGGAAGTAAGTAGTAAGTAAGTAACAACTTTATTTTATGAGGCTAACACATTCAGTTTCCCGATCTTCCATGCGGGCCTCAGTATATACAAAACAACATAAAATACAATCACAATCAACATTTAGACAACATAAATATGTACATTAAACATCATATCAATACAATAAATAAGTAAACATTTTTTTCTTCTAATATAGAGAAGTGACATTTTCATAACTTCAGCATGGAAAGTACAAAAAAGTAAATCAATGTTGAAGAATTAGACATTTATGAGGCTGTTCTAATAACAGTTTTTATTAAACTTTTTATTTTATACATTAAATTATTGTTTTTGGAAACAATATGTACAATCAATTAGTTAGAAAATTGCCATTGGATATAGGAGGCTTGAAATTTCCTCAGGGTATCAGAATTTCGAACATGTATTGGTATGTTGTTTCATACCACAGGACCGGAGTAATTAAACGATTTTCTAAATAATTATAGTGCATTGAGTTGGTTTAAATATGTGGTACTTTAAAACAATTTATGATAGGTAACGTAGAGAACCAGTTTGTAGCTTAAAGGAAAAGTCACACTAATACTTAACAAGGTAAAATTTTATAAAAGCTAATTGATGGTCATATCTGGACATCAATCTTTTGTGGATGGATTTTTGGATTATTAATAACTAGGTATTTTGTGGGACATTAAAGAGACATGCCACAAGCAAACACCAGTTATATTGTAAGAAAGGGGATGGTAATACATGTACTTGATTGTCAAAAATGAACATTGATGTGCTGTCATTTAGTCATAAACGCTTCTTGAAATAATTGGCCATACTGAGAATATAAGAAAGTATTAAATTTTGTTTATGTTTATTCTTGCAACACTCTTTTTAAATTAAACATGCATTTGTTGGATGTCAAAGATAATGTTCCTTACTGGGCCTAGCTTAGGGTTCATTTGTCTGTTTCCAACAACAGGTCTTGTTTTTCCATGTTTGTACTCAGAATTGGTATTTCGGTAAACAAGGTCTTATTATAGGTATTTTTCGTGAATTAGGTGAATGTTCTATAGAACTAGGTCAAAGTTTAAAGTGTTTTTAATAACTAGGTGCTAGTGGTGGTCTACATAATTGACATGAGACAGGTTTTCAGTATATCTTTGTTAATCTGATATGATATATTCAAACATGTGACATTGATACTGCATGTAAAGGTAACGTTATCTCTTAGATCTGGCATTAATAACAATGATATAGGTGTTTATATAGAATGTTTTTTCCGTAATGATGTACGTAATTACACACCATTTCTGGATGTTATAGCTTTTGTTAACCTTGTTTTTCCTGTTTCATGCTACATACCATTTCTGGATGTTAACCTCATACAAAATGAGCCGCATCATGACAAAACCAACGTAATGCGTTTGCGACCAGCATGGATCCAGACCAGCCTGCGCATCCGCGCAGTCTGATCAGGATCCATGCTGTTCGCATTCAGTTTCTCTCCTTGTTAAAAGGTTTAAAAGCGAACAGCATGGATCCTGATAAGACTGCGCAGATGCGCAGGCTGGTCTGGATCCATGCTGGCCGCAAACCCATTATGTTGTTTTTGTCGTGACATAGCATTACAGTGGAATAGAAATGAGACTATTTGAAATAGAATATTGTATAATCAATGTAACAGACCTGTCTAGATTGTGTAATTCAGTATATAGTCACCTTAGTGCAGTAACAGGTTAACTAGTTATATAAATTAATAGGAGTTAACCCATTCATGCACTTAGGTGACAAATTATGCAGTTCATGTTACTTTCAAGGCTTATTGTCTGCATTTTAAAGGTCGTTCAAACTAGGTGACTGACATTGCACTAACTTAAAGATATATTTTGCTCAAATTTGATGTTTTAAAAAAACTGATAATAATTATTCTAAAACAGTCTTTTTAAAATGTAAAATAAATACACAGAGAAAATATGTTAGGTTTTAAACCCTACATACTACAGGTAATCACAATATGATTACATAGTGTTCCAAAAAAAAACTGTCAGTTTTTACTGTCAGTTTTCATAAGATTGGACCAAATTAATTTGACAAGAAATAGGGAATGCAGCTTTCCAAACATAGTTTATACATTGAATTTCACATATAATCAAATTATTATTAAACATATTCAGGAAGAGTTTACTAGATTTCAATTAATTTCTACAACTCAAAGATATGGGTTCAAATCCCGACAGGGACTTTGGATTTTTTCATGTGAGGAAGTTATCCAGCTAGCTTGTGGAACATTGGTTGTTCTAGACTACTCAGGTGCCCGTTCATGTCTGAAATAATGCACGGAAGGGCACCGGAGGTCTTCCTCCACCTGTAAAATTGGAATGTAGCCATATGACCTATACTGTATCGGTGTGACGTAAAACCCAATCAAACATAACTTTAATAATTTCAGGACAATATCACAAACAAGAGGAAGGTATATGTAATGTCGGGAAAAGTGCGATGGCATTCCTCGAAGACCTCAGTGGCATTGTAGACGTGAACTATGGCTTGGGTGCTATAGATAGACTATTACATATAGTAGCAAGGGACCAACATGTTCAACTCTGTATTAATATTCTTGCTATCACATGGTAAGTATAATGTTTTACACACTTAATTAGAGACGGCATTGCATTTGAGCCGCGTCACGACAAAACCAACATAGTGCGTTTGCGACCAGCTTAGAATCAAATCAGCCTGCCCATCTGTGCAGTCTGATCAGGATCCGTCCTGTTGGCTATCAGTTTCTCTACATGTAATAGGGTTGGTAAGCGTACAGCATGGATCCTGATCAGACTGCGTGGATGCTGGTTGGAAACGTACTATGTTGATTTTGTCATGACACGGCTCATGGAAATGGAACATAAGTGGATCTCAAAAAAGTATAACCAATGGAAATGGAACATAAGTGGATCTCGGTTAAAAAAACAAAAAACACATATTTCCTTCATTTCAAAATGATGTTAATTTATTTATTTTTGATAATCACACAAGCATATAGACATTCTTAATAATAGACATTATATTAGTTGATACATCTTTTCATTGCTCATCTAAATATGTTTATTTAACTCCATGTCAGAATAAGTGATGGTATACCCACCTATGGATTATATGATCTTGAAAATCTAGCAAAAAACTACAACTAGAAAGTTAATGAAACATTATGATGTTTTCTGTTAACAGGACCCAAGCATCAAGACAGTACTTCTTCACTCAGAGAGAGATACTTGATCAAGTTCTTAGTGTTCTTCAACCTTCTAGTGACTTTGATGATCATCAGTTCTTACAAGCAGTAAATGCTTTACGACTTCTAGTCAGTGCTATAAATACAAAGAAAAAATATCAGGTAGTGAAAAATAGGTATTCGTTAACAGAAGCTGTTGAACGATCAGAACTCGTTTGCAGAGCTGGTTCCTATGCCGTTCCTTCCAGCAATAGTGAAAATAAGTGGCGTGAACAGAGGTCAAAGTTACCGTTACATTTACAAGGTCATCGTGATGAAAGTTCAAGGTCATGTTGTGTTTCTGATGGTTCTATTACCATGGATACAGTCTTCGTTGTCAAGAACGAGAAAATCTCGGCAAACAGAGCAATCTTGGTGGAAAAATCGGAGATATTTGCCGCCATGTTGGACGGCCACTACTCCGAAGCTCAGCAGTCGGAGATCAAAATTCCGGAAACGTCGAAATTTGCATTTAAATTATTGATACATTACCTACATGGTTGTGAAAAAGGAAAATGTACGACCATTGACCTACTTTTTTCAAAACAAGTTGATAAAAAGTCTGCGAAGCAGTGTATCGGTGTATTAGAAGAAGCGAACAAATATATGCTGACCAAACTATGGGATTTGGCATATGAATGTCTATGTTTACGATACTTAATTCCCGAGTCAGCATTTTTGGTGATGAAGTACGCAGTATTACATAGGAAAGATCAGTTATTGAAGGCTTCGGTGTCCTGTGTTTTCTCTGACAGTAAAAGTACGGAAGAAATAATAGAACATTTAAGTGAAATATTAAGTTCATGCTATGCTGATATATTTGTGGCAACTCTTAGAGATGTATTGATAGAATAGTTTAGAAACTTGTATAAAAAAGCGCATACACACAAACAAAACCCCCCAAACTTTCCTCAACTTATTTCCATTACTATATACATGAGTATGTTAAAAACCTCAGTTAAACCTTATTGCAAAACTTTTTTGTCAGCAATAAACTGCCATATTAATAATTTTATTTCCAGTTCATATTTGTACCTTTTGCTCTACCCAAAATTATATACACAATTATTTCATAACATTTTTGGTAGTTTTTCAAAAAGAGATGCTCAAGTACTCTGAAATGTGTTGTTTTTTTCCAGTTAAACAAATTATTTAAGTTACACATTGGTAAATATATTGATAATACAGGTAACTCTTTTGTGAGCAGTACTGCATCATGACACTAACAGTCGAAGCTCATTTATGCCCTTAAATAAAATGTGAAAAAAAAAACAAACACATTTGCCAAGTTCTAGAAAAGATCTTCAGTTTTAATAAGAAAGATTCATGTGCATATTGTGATGCAGTTGTGAATATGAGCCAGTAATTGTATCCACAGCTACAAAATGCATTTACTCGTTTTTGTTTTTTTTTACATTTTCACATATGAAAATATCTCAAAACCTTTAATATCACATAGCTTTTGAAATATAACCACAAGAGTTATTGAGTACACTACCTGTTTTTATATGCATAACCTTGACATACTTTTCAAGTCATAGAAGTTTTTTGTTATTTGTTTTTTATTTATTTATGTTTATACACATGTATTTATTGAAATTGTTCAGTACTGTTTATCTGGATAGTAATAAATTTGTAATAGAAATTATGAATTGATTCACAGCTTAACTTAAATCTTATGCATTTTTATGGTAGAAAATTTAAATCACTTGTATTTCACATATATATATATATATATATATATCTAAATATTAAATACAAAAACAAGATTGCATTTGATAAAAATGCTATGCCACCGCATGGTTCAAATTTCATAGCTGTACATCAAAGGACAAGAAAGTAGGTCACATCATCAAAATCTAGGTCACCTGATATCAAAGTTCAATTTTACAACTAAAACTGTGCACATGGTCAAAATGTCATTGCTGTACATCAAAGGACAAGAAAGTAGGTCACTGTCCCCTTGGGCAAGGCATAATTTTGACCCAAGGGTTTAATTCAAAACAATTTTGATACAGGTCCACCAAACAACATTTCAAGTCAAATATCTAAGCTATAGCTTTCTCCCATTCAGAAAACATTTGTTTTATTTTCTGTTTTTACTATGTGTACATAATGAGAATCACTGCCCCTGGGCAGGGCCAATTTTGACACCAGGGGAAAAATTTGAACAACTTTGGTAGAGGACCTATAAATGATATTATATATCAAACATCAAAGCTCTATGCCTTGTACCTTCAGACAAAAATATTTTTTATTTTTTCACTATATGTACATAATGAAAATCAATGACCCCCGGGGCGGAACCAATTTTGACCCCAGGACTATAATTTAAACAATTTGCAAGAGGTTCACTACACAATGTTTCATGCAAAATATCTTAACTCTAGCCTTGTAAATTTAGAGAAGATGATTTTTAAGTTTGTACTATATACATATAAGGAAAACCTATGGCCACCAGGGGGCGGGGCTAATTTTGACACAAGAGGCAAAATTTGAATAAATTTTGTAGAGTACCTTCAGATGATATAATTTAACAAATATTAAAGCTCTAAGCCTTGTACCTTCAGACAATAAGATTTATTTATTTTTTACTATATGTATATATTGAAATCAATGACCCCAAGGGCGGGGGCAATTTTGACCCCAGGGCTATAATTTGAACAATCTTGCTAGAGGTTTACTACACAATGTTTCATGCAAAATATCTAACCTCTAGCATTTGTCAATTGCTAGATGAATTTTTTTTGAAGTTTTTACTATTACTATAAGTTTTTACTATATACATATAAGGAAAACCAATGACCCCCGGGGCGGGGCTGATTTTGACCCCAGGGCTATAATTTGAACAATCTGGGTAGAGGTCTACCAGACAATGCCTTACGCAAAATATATAAGCTCTAGGCCTTTTTGGGTCTTTACAAGAAGGTGATTTAAGTTTTTACTATATGTACATATAGTGAAATTCAATGACCCGGGGCGGGGCGATTTTGACCCAAGGGCTATAATTTGAACAATCTTGGTAAGGGTCTACCAGAAGATGCCTTATGCAAAATATCTAAGCTCTAGGCCTTTTGGGTTTTTACAAGAAGGTATTTTAAGTTTTTACTATATGTACATAGTGAAAATCAATGACCCTCGGGGCGGGGCCAATTTTGACCCCAGGGCTATAATTTGAACAATCTTGTTAGAGGTCTACCAGACAATGCCTTATGCAAAATATCTAAGCTCTAGGCCTTTTGGGTCTTTACAAGAAGATTTTTTAAATTTATTCTTATAATTCCTTTTGGTTGCCATGGCAACCAGATTTCTGCATGGAATGAAATTCTTTGAACAACTTTGGAAGCCCTTCACCCAAGGAACAATCCTGCCAAGTTTGGTTGAAATTGGACTAGTGGTTTTTCACAAGAAGATTTTTTAAGTTCACTATATAATCTATATAACACACACACAAACACACACACACACAGGTGAATCGCTATATGCCACCGCATCGCAGATGCTGCGGTGGCATAATAAATTGTATACAATATTTGATGCCAATTTATTGGAAAAAAACTCAATATTCAAATTTTTGAGTAAGTGAATATGGATTAAAAAACCAGTTATATTTTACATTTACAACTGTATGAAGTAGATTCTGCCAAATTTATTAGAAATAAAACAATATTCAGATCTACAGTAACAAGAACAGATTTATTACAGGTTTGCCAGTTTAGTGTTAAGTATCAAATAAAAAACGGGTATTGAAATAAAGTGTTCAAAATATCCCATTTTAAAATAGATTGTTTTGATGGTCCAATTGGACCAAATTTATTGAATTTATTATATAAACCTTTTCACAAGATGTTATGAAAATGAAGAGATTTTTGTTGTTGTCTTTCAATCTGATTAATATTAAAGTATTATGCAAAAATATATGCTCTCTTTGTTTTTACTGTCTCTACAATTATAAATATGAAGTTTTCATTAAATAACTTGCAAGAGAATGACAGCCATACTAATACTTTTTCATTAACCTATGTTGATTATCATTGAGATCATTTGCTTGTAGCTTTTATGTGCAATCTCAATCTTTAAAATGACAGGTGTGCACATGAAACATATGAGCCGTGTCACGACAAAACCAACATAATGCGTTTGCGACCAGCATGCATCCGCGCAATCTGATCAGGATCCATGCTGTTTGCTATCAGTTTCTCTACTTGTAATAAAGTTGGTAAGCGAACAGCATGGATCCTGATCATACTGCGCAGATGCGCAGACTGGTCTGGATCCATGCTGGTCGCAAACGCACTATGTTGGTTTTGTCATGACGCGGCTCATATAACATGTCTTTAGGATCATAATTAGTGGTCACTATCCAAGAAAGCTTTGTAATGAATTGATGACTGAATTATGGCCCTTTTGTGAACTCGGAAATTTCAGGGTTAAACTGTCCATGCAACATTAATCTTTAAAACTTCAATGATATTCAGAAAAACATCTTTTAGAATTATAATTAAATTAATTAAAGGTCATCTCAAAGACCCATTATAACAATGGTATTGATTCTGAATGAAACTCTCACGTGTGGCTTTATGTAAACTTACAAAATCCAAGCCTTTTAACACTGTATTATGTATCTCAGATTAAACCTTCCCTTTTGATGATGTCTGCATTACATAGGCTCTTATTATACTGTACAGCATTTTGCATTTTTAAACATTTTTTGGGGCTTTGAGATCTGCTTGGTTAACCAACTAGAACCATTTGAATTAATTTGGATGGGACCACACATGGATTATACCTGGGATGAACAAGAGCCACCGCCGGGCGGGGGCAAAGCTCGACTTTTGACTTTTTCTAAACGCAAACATAGAAAGGTTTGAACATATATTGATGTTTCCTTTTTATAAATTTAGTTGGTCTGTCTTGTCACATTAGTTTTGTTTATATATTTTGTATATATATGAATAGAAACATTAAGCATATTTCTAAAAATAGCAACAGTACGCAATTTCTAAAAATAGCAACAATGACGCAATTTCTAAAAATAGCAACAATGACGCAATTTCTAAAAATAGAAAAAATGACGCAATTTCTAAAAATAGAAAAAAATGACGCAATTTCTAAAAATAGAAACAATGACGCAATTTCTAAAAATAGAAAAAAAAATGACGCAATTTCTAAAAATAGAAACAATGACGCAATTTCTAAAAATAGAAAAAAAAATGACGCAATTTCTAAAAATAGAAACAATGACGCAATTTCTAAAAATAGAAAAAAATGACGCAATTACTAAAAATAGCAACAATGACGCAATTTCTAAAAATAGAAAAAAATGACGCAATTTCTAAAAATAGAACAAAAATGACGCAATTTCTAAAAATAGAAACAATGACGCAATTTCTAAAAATAGAAAAACATGACGCAATTTCTAAAAATAGAAAAAATGACGCAGTTTCTAAAAATAGAAAAACATGACGCAATTTCTAAAAATAGAAAAAAATGAAGCAATTTCTCAAAATAGAAAAAAATGACGCAATTTCTAAAAATAGAAAACATGACGCAATTTCTAAAAATAGAAAAAAATGACGCAATTTCTAAAAATAGAAAAACATGACGCAATTTCTAAAAATAGAAGAAAAAATGACGCAATTTCTAAAAATAGAAAAACATGACGCAATTTCTAAAAATAGAAACAATGACGCAATTTCTAAAAATAGAAACAATGACGCAATTTCTAAAAATAGAACAAAAATGACGAAATTTCTAAAAATAGAAAAAAATGACGCAATTTCTAAAAATAGCCACAATGAAGCAATTTCTAAAAATAGAAAAAAAATGACGCAAATTCTAAAAATAGCAACAATGACGCAATTTCTAAAAATAGAAAAAAATGACGCAATTTCTAAAAATAGAAAAAACATGACGCAATTATATACATGTATATATATATATATATATATATATTTGATATATATATATATATTTGATATATATATATATATATATATCTATATATGTATATATATATATATACATGCATATATATATATATATTTATATATATATATATATATATACCTGCATATATGTATATATATACACACACACATTTATATATATATTTATATATAATACATATACTATACATACACACACACCGATAAATGCACAATCTGAGAAAATTCAGTAATATAACCTTCAAGGTCAAGGTCATTAAAGAGCCCAAGCAAATTTGGGTTTGATAAACAACAAGGTCTGGTCCTTAAGAATGTTCTGTTATAAATATGAAGTTTATCCCTTCAAAAATAGCAAAGTTACAGTCAGTTACTGCCAAAACAATGAAAATTTCAATAATTTGACCTTCAAAGGCAATGTCATTAATGAGTGAAGGTCAAGGTCTTTCGGTATATTTTTAACAGTTATCTTTGAAGATTATTATGTTCAAGTTTGAAGACAATCCATTCAAAAATAACAAAGTTACAGCCAATAATAGCCAAAAAAATGAAAATTTCAATAATTTGACCTTCAAAGTCAAGGTCATTGATGAGTGAATGTCAAGGTCTGACTGGTTATTTTTAAGGGATATCCTTGAAGATAATTATGTTCAAGTTTGAAGACAATCCATTCAAAAATAACAAAGTAACAGCCAATAACAGCATGAACAAGCAAAAATTGGACTTTTAACCTTGAAGGTCAAGGTCATTTATGGATGAAGGTCAAGGTTAGTGTGGTCTACTGAAAGGTCTTGTCCCAAGGGTTGTTGTGGCCAAGTATGAAGACAATACACCAAGAAATAAAAAAGTTATGATCCAGGTACAAGTTTTCGGACGGCAACGGCAACGGCAACGCCGACCTGACTATAACAATACCTCTACTTTTTTTTTCAAAAAAAAAAAAGTCGAGCTAAAAACAGTCACTGGTCTTGGATAGAAACTGTTGATGAAAAATGGCATTATGTTACCCAACAACAGAAGACGGACAGATGGCTATATTAATTGTTGTGCTCGAGTGAGCTAAAAAAATGGGGACTTCAAATGAAGAACAAAGTCTAGTTAGAACTCAACAAGTACATTATTTATTATCTGTAAGATATATATATAAATTCCTAATATCTACAGTGTAAAAACTGCTAAAAACCCTTTAATAATGAAAGCCTAGAGACAGCATCATTTACATATGAGCCGCGTCATGACAAAACCAACAGAATGGGTTTGCGACCAGCATGGATCCAGCATGGATCCATGCTGTTCGCTATCAGTTTCTCGTCTTGTTATATGGTTCGTAAGCGAACAGCATGGATCCTGATCAGACTGCGCGGATGCACAGGCTGGTCTGGATCCATGCTGGTCGCAAACGCATAACGTTGGTTTTGTCATGACGCGGCTCATTTACATATTAGAAATCTAATAAAATAACAAGCTTAACAAGTACTGCAATACATCAATACAGCACATTCTCATCTAGACACCTTAGTGCAATAACTGGTTAACTCCTATTAAATTATATAAGGAGTTAACCTGTTACTGCACTAAGGTGATATATACACACATTGTAATAAAGTATAGGATACATGTAGAATCTACAAGTATATTTACAAAACGAAAAATACAAGTAACAAAAAAGGACATTATGCATAATTCTCCATAACAAAACTATTGTGTATATAAGTAATTTAAAAGCATTTTCTAAAATACAAGTACTGGAGAGCTGGAGATATATATCTCGGATAGACCCGAGGGTTGATTAGAAATATGGTTGTAATTACAATTCATTACATTTTTTCCCAAGTAATTTAATGTTGGGATTCACCGTTATTTTTCAGAAAAAAATTATTGATTTCAAGTTTTTACTTTTATATAAATTCAGAACAAGCTCACATCCTCATCACTTATCGCTATCTCAGTAAAAGCCATGTTCCTCATCTGAATTTTTAAATGCTACATTCTTTATTATATAAAAAAGTAAATTTTTTGCAAGTAACACTCATTCAGTAAACGGACCTTTCAAATTTTTAGCTGTGAAAAATTTAGCACCCCCTTTTTTATTTGTTGCTATGTCATATGCCCACAGTATCAAAAACAAAACTAAGGTTTTTTCCGTGTATACCAGGTCAACCAGTGACTTTGTACATGTATTTCCCCAGTGAAGTAATTGGATAACCACTCGGCCAATATTTGTATAAAACTGTGGTCAACACCAAAACAACAAAAAGACTCTTACAGATCTATTTCCTCCATTATGAGAACATAAGAATGAGATGCTATGGCTACAAAATTTTAAGAGGTTCATACACAGTTTTTCAAATTACCCTGAAAATAATGGGATAAAATATCATAAAGCCTAACTTATAGGCACCTTAAGCCTTGGAAATGAACATTACTTTTGTTACTTTCTGTAGAAAGGGGCAGTCATATGTTTTATAATGTTGTAATAATAAATTTCAAACATCTACAATGCTCATCATTTTAGGGGGAAAAGCAATGAATGTTAAATAATTTGTGATAAAGGTTACAAAATATAAACAAAGTAGTATTTTAATGTCTTCCATACAAAAAAATAAATCACTTATAACCTGTACTAATTGCCAAAATGCAAAATATAGCTTAGCTATATAAGGAATGAGAAACTTTTTTTGAAAACTATTAAAGATCACCATTTTGAAAAAAAAAATTAGACTTTAAAAACACCAATCTAGAGCAAGCCCATGGCAAGAAACATACTATAAAAAGCTTTAACATATACTTATTAACTCAACAGTAAACAGATTTTAACTTCCATTCTGTAAGCTATCTATATATAAACTATTAAACATAAGTTTTAATTGAGACATAAAAAGTTAACACAAATGATGTACTATAATCTAAATCAACAGATCTTTCATATAAATTATATATAGCAAAAACATGGAAAATAATATACAGAGTGCTAGAAAATAATAACCAATATTTGTTAACATTTAGTCAAGGGAATTAACTCTGATATCACGAATTGAGATCAAGGGACATAACTGTCATTTTGATTATTTGGGTCTCCAAGCGGGCATCTTATAAGATCCCCTTAACATTGTGATCTATTTTCAAATAAGTAGTTCATACTTGAAATATATCTTCATAAAAACATTTTAATTTCTTCAATTTTACCATTACATTATCTGGTTTAGATTTAAGATGTTATGAAAACAGTTTTGAATGTAAAAGTATTTTACATGGAAAAAGGTCTCAACTCCCAGGTGGCAGTCAAATTTGGTGGTATTTATAAACATAGGATTATCATAATATATTCTCTTGCAAAACAAAGCAAACATGCATGACTAAGTTAAAGCTATAATTTTATGTTAACAAGAGTACTGTACCATTACATTAAAGTATGAAGTACATTATTTTGTTATTATTGTTAATACAAAATTGTTAAACACAAGATGTTGTCTTTATAGCCCTAAGAAACTTTGCTACAAATACATACTGAAATACTGTATTTTTTCTGGAGAAATATAATTTATATCACTGTCTCGCTCATTTAAATACTAGTACCTTTAATATCATCCAAGGCAAGTGAATGATATAATTAATACTTCCAAAAGTAATTTATGGTTAATGAATTTAAGTTTGTTCTTTTATGCTATAAAATTAAATAACAATTAACAAAATTAGATTCTAAAATTTTTCATCCAATCAAAACTTCAACCATTTCCTTAAGGATTTTGCTGACAACAAATTCACTGTAGGCAGCTGACAATATATATAATGCTTGCTAAAAAAGATTCTGCTATTTTTAGAAATATAAGTTTTTTTGTTGTTCTTTTTCTGATATGTGAATAATTTCATTTATAGTCACTAACTTTAGAGGACGGACAATTCTTTAACCATAGAATAAGACTGACACTATATTATCAATTAAATAAGATTAGAAAATTCAAATGACAAAACTTTTGAGCTGCTCTTTCATGACTAGCAAGAATAGCAATGCCTACAACAATAGCACATATTAAAAAAATCATCTAAAAAGCTGTCAATTTTATCATTATTTATGCCTTACTATTACCATCATTATTTGGTTGGATAATTAGTCACCTAAAATGTTTTAAACCTTTAACCCTTAGAAATTCCCGAATAGACTCCTCCACCTTGATTGTGAAAAAAGAACATTTTCATTTTTAGAGATACCATCATGAAGATTTTAAAGTAGCTTAGCCTGATAAGATTCTTGGATGTTTACACTGGTCTTGACCGAAGAAGAATTATTAAATACATGATCATATATAGCTACATACATTCCTTCCTCAAAGGGGAAAAAAAAACAATGCCCTTCGGCGGTACTCCTAGGTGTACAATAGAGGTCAAAGACAAGTAATTAAATGCCAGTGATCTCAATCCAATCAAATTAAAATAATATCCTAATTGTCGCTCAACTAACCTTCACTACGTAGGCTTTGTAGCGAAGAGTAACAAAGCGAAAATGATGATGTAGCGAATAGTTACAGAGCAAAAACGTTGATCTGATTTTAATGAGATTGCCACTCAATAATACCATCAGTCAATTTTAACTCTGGCCACCTCATCCCCAGTGTGTATAATACCATAAGAATGGGAAGTTAGGCAAGTTTTGCCTTTCATCTGCTTAACAGTGCATGGGCCAATTGGGGATTTATCTTATAATTTAAGCAGGAGTTTATCTATGTGGTACAGTCACCACAATTCTGTAGCAGTGGCCTAGCTACGTCTGATTTGTGCATTATATTCAATGGATATACAAGAAAAAGCAAAAATAAATACATATCTAAATAAAGTCTAAAAAATGGCATATATATATGTATGAAGAGGTAGGTATGTGAATACAATAAATCAATAATTATTATGACGTTACACAGAAAGATACATATTTTAAATGGCATACAATGATTTACTCAACATGAACAAACAAAATACAAAGATGATTTCTATTATAAAATAGCATTTAGCATTTATAATTTTCTTAAAGCTATGAAATATATAACAATATATACACAGGATTGTGTAAACCGTAGATAGTAATTCAACAGTAATCTATAACTTACTGTATGTACTTCTTTCTCAGGCTTAGTGTACATAAAGTTCTATGTTGTAGTTTATACTGTGTACATACAAAGCAAGGATATCATTAAGTTCCACAATTTGGAAGTCAGATACTGCAACATATCTGACACAGAAAGTCACATTATATAGGTAAAGAAGGAAAAAGGTTACATTTTGGAAGTCACAAGCCAAAATCAGGAGAAAATGACTCCCAAACTTCCACTAGTGGAAGCCCTGTACACAAAACTTGTGTCAAAGCGTACATAAACCATACTTATGACAGTGTTCAGAAGCCAAACTTTATGACATGGTGTACATAAACCGAATGTACAGAAACACACATTAAGTCATAGTTTACATAAACAAAACTATGTCACTTATCTGTACAGAAATCAAAATAATGCCATAGAGTGCAAAAACTGTTAACTTCAATTTCACAAATAAAGTTTTATCAAAGGGTAATCAAACAAAATTCAAACCATTGAATCAACATACACATGAATATTACAACAAAATGCATTGAGTTTTGTTGTTGTTGTTGTTAAATAATTAAAGTCACCATAAATAACACTAACAAATTTTATGTGGTAATATTAGCAATGCCCTAGTTCTGGCTTACAAAGACATGAAACAAACATAAGAAATAGCACTGTTCTATGTGAAACTGACATAAGAAACAGCACTGTTCTACATAAAACAGACATAAGAAACAACATTGTTCTATGTGAAACACACATAATAAACAGCACTGTTCTACATGAAACAGACATAAGAAACAACATTGTTCTATGTGAAACACACATAATAAACAGCACTGTTCTACATGAAACTGACATAAGAAACTGTACTGTTCTACATGAAACAGACATAAGAAATTGTACTGTTCTATGTTAAACTGACATAAGAAACTGTACTGTTCTAGGTGAAACAGACTTAAGAAACTGTACTGTTCTATGTGAAACAGACATAAGAAACTGTACTGTTCTATGTGAAACAGACATAAGAAACTGTACTGTTCTAAATGAAACAGACATAAGAAACAGTACTGTTCTGTGTGAAATAGACATAAGATACCACAGACATAAGAAACAACACTGGTCTACATGAAACAGACATAAGAAACAGTACTATTCTATGTGAAAAAGATGTTACAAATGGCAATGCCCTACATGTAAAGAAAACAAAACACTGTTCTACTTTAACATGGCATAACAAGCAGCAGCACAGCTCCACAAGTAAATACAATAATAAGCTGCACTGTTTTATGTGAAAAAACAACAACACATTACAGCAGCACTGTTCAATGTGAACCCCTCCCCGACATAAAAGCACTGTTTAATATGAACAGCAAAATTATAAACAGCACTCTTCCATGTGAAAACAATATAACAGACTGTACTAGTCTACTTATATATTAAATAATTAACAGCACTGAATAGAACATTACAACAGCACTGTTTTATTTGGCAAAAAAAACCCAACATAACAGCACTGTTTTATATGAAAATAACATTATTAACAGCACTGTTCCATGTGAAAACGACATTACAAAGAAGTTGTACTGGGTCTACTTATTTATAAAATATTGAACACTATAGCACTGTTCAACTGTTATATGACATTACAAACAGAACTGTCATACATACTGGTAAATATTAAAATGACATAACAGCTCAACATTACATATATGACACTATATAAAATAAAGCTATTGCACACACTTGTGTTGTAAAATCCTGGCAAAAGACAAATTTGGAATTCCAAAATTTAAAGTTTTTCTATAAAAAAGAACAGATGTATATTTCATTAGATATAAGAACATTTGTATAATAATTGACTGTCGGCATAACAAAATAGCCCTCAACGTCAATTACTTTTTTTAAAATTGACATATTAAAATTCTTAATGAAATTCAATTTTAAAGCTCTTGAAGTAAATAAAAAATTTCTGCATTGTGCCTATTGTTACCTATTCATAATAACACTTAACATTTCAAGGGTAATTCTTTCATTTTTAACCTGTCAATTGACAATGTTTGCTTTTTTTGACGTCACATTAAGTGTTGTTTTCTTATGCCGACGCTCAATTTCATTAGATATACAAGTACCTTTAACAGGTGAATCAGAATTTAAATCTACAACAAAAACTTAATAACTGTGATTTCATTTATGAAATTTAAAATGATATATGCTGAAATATTTATTTGGTGGTCTATCATTTGATACATAATATTAGACTAGATTTCATCTCGTATATCTATACACATGCAAGTAATATACACATAGTAATATAATGCTATGTAAGTTTAACAGAGGGTCTGGACTTTATAATGTAATAAAAAAATCTTACGAAACATATAAAAATGTGTATATCATCAAGATAAGCATGTATAGCTGCAATCATTGAAATGATTTTGCAAAAATATATCCAGACTGAAAACCAAGATGTATGAGAGAAAAAAAACCCTTAAATCAAGATATTTACCAAACCATTCTACACTTAAGATGACATTATACATGTTCTACTGTCACCTAAAATCAGTTTAAGCATTCCATCAGCATTTAAAAAGAGAAATGGGTTTTGTCAAAAATACATACAAATTCCCCCATCCCCATTTTGAGATTTGTTGACAATTAACCATGAGTAGCTGAAATTTCCAAAATTTTGAAACACTTGACTTTGAAGGTCAAGGTATTTTACTATAATGATCTAAGTTATTCTTCAATAATGCGAAACAAAACCCTTGTCTAAAGGTATATTGTGTCAAATTATAATGGCTTCAAACTAGAAGATGAAAATGTGATGGCAAAAAATAAAATGTGTTGACCAACAAACGGGACAAAATTTCATGGCATCCATCCCTTCCCAACACAGTTTGAAACTGCAGCATTTTATCTTTTCACTTTTAAAAACTATTTGTGTTAATAATTTATTCAAGAACAAAAAGCAAAAATTTTTACCCTTTAAAAGAAAAAATCATATTATATATATAAAGGTATCAGCTAACAATGCCTCCTACAAACAAATATATACTGTTAAGTAAGTAATTAAAAACAAATCTATAACGAGAAGTAAAGTGTGAAAAAATATTTACTGGGAGAAAAAAAAAATATTCGAACAAAAAAAAATAATCTTAAAACAATTGTAATACTACACAAAACATTCTACCCAATATATTATATATAATATCACTATGGTAACTGTGAGCTGGACCCCGGCTCGTTGATTGTGACAATTGCCCTCTCTAATCTATCTGCCTGGTTCCCTTTCTTGGCAGTATCACGTACATAGTTGATCAAGGTCTCCTTCTTGATATCAACAGCAAGCACCTGAATCAAAATAATATAAATAATTATACACAGAATAAGATAACATATGTCAAGAAAACTTTAAGACAAAATATTTGTAAAATAGGTAGCTTCATTCCAGTTTGATAACATGTACTTTATAAAAGTTATAAATCTGGGCAAGTTCCTATCATACAGTTAGACAAGTTCCTATCATACAGTTAGACAAGTTCCTATCATACAGTTAGACAAGTTCCTATCATATAGTTAGGCAAGTTTCTATCTTAGTTAGGCAAGTTTCTATCATATAGTTAGGCAAGTTTCAATCATATTTAGGCAAGTTCCTACCATAGTTAGGCAAGTTTCTATCTTATAGTTAGCCAAGTTTCTATCTTATAGATAGAAAGTTAGTCAACAGCAGCTGAACAATTTTCAGTGTTTGGTAATAAAAACAGATCCATGCAGGATTTTACAGTTCAAAGAGAGGAACAATTCATTCAAAATCCAAGCAATAAATTATGCGTCTTGCCTGTCATATTATCTGTGATAATGACCTTAAAGATATGTGTAGGGTTCTGAGTAAATATGTTCTGTGGTAATTGCTGTAAAACAAGCCTGTTTGGTTTAACAGCATACCAACACAATCTAGGTCATATGGCACTGAAACAGGAAAGATGATTTTGGCTAACCTTGGTTTTTACAAACTAAAAGCAACACCTGGGTTTAAACCATCTCATCTGCTGGAGCTAAGAGATGCAAAGACTCCAGTAATTTTGTTGCCTCTTATGATCACACAGAAATAAACTGTGGCTGCAATTCTTTAAATGCAACCCCTCTGAACCCTCCGCATTTTACTTATAAAGCCTTGAGTTTCTCTTTTATGTATCATATATTACCTGTCCCCTCCGTGTAACACCAATAAAACCCTGTGTTTCTGTGTAATATATATCATATTTTACCTGTCCCCTCTGTGTAACACCAATAAAACCCTGTGTCTCTGTGTAATATATATCATATTTTACCTGTCCCCTCTGTGTAACACCAATAAAACCCTGAGTCTCTGTGTAATATAAATAATATTTTACCTGTCCTCTCTGTGTAAACACCAATAAACCCTGTGTCTCTGTGTAATATAAATCATGAATTACCTGTCCTCTACGTGTAACACCAATAAAACCCTGTGTCTCTGTGTAATATATATCATATTTTACCTGTCCCCTCTGTGTAACACCAATAAAACCTTGTGTCTCTGTGTAATATAAATCATATTTTACCTGTCCCCTCCGTGTAACACCAATAAAACCCTGTGTCTCTGTGTAATATAAATCATGTATTACCTGTCCTCTCCGTGTAACACCAATAAAACCCTGTGTCTCTGTGTAATATAAATCATGTATTACCTGTCCCCTCCGTGTAACACCAATAAAACCCTGTGTCTCTGTGTAATATAAATCATGTATTACCTGTCCTCTCCGTGTAACACCAATAAAACCCTGTGTCTCTGTGTAATATAAATCATGTATTACCTGTTCTCTACGTGTAACACCAATAAAACCCTGTGTCTCTGTGTAATAAATATCATATATTACCTGTTTCTACGTGTAACACCAATAAAACCCTGTGTCTCTGTGTAATATATATCATGTATTACCTGTTCTCTACGTGTAACACCAATAAAACCCTGTGTCTCTGTGTAATATATATCATATATTACCTGTTCTCTACGTGTAACACCAATAAAACCCTGTGTCTCTGTGTAATATAAATCATGTATTACCTGTTCTCTACGTGTTGAACACCAATAAAACCCTGTGTTTCTGTGTAATATAAATCATATATTACCTGTCCCCTCCATGTAACACCAATAAAACCCTGTGTTTCTGTGTTATATAAATCATATATTACCTGTCCCCTCTGTTAAACACCAATAAAACCCTGTGTCTCTGTGTAATATAAATCATGTATTAACTGTCCTCTCCGTGTAACACCAATAAAACCCTGTATCTCTTTTATATATCATATTTTACCTGTCCTCTCCGTGTAACACCAATAAAACCCTGTGTCTCTGTGTTTATTGTTGAGGTAAAGATGATATCCTCTGAGACCCTCATACTGCATAGACATGTTGACGTCTCCATATCACATAGAAACAAACATCCATACTTTGTCAGCATAAATACCAGTCCATACTCGGCAGACACCTGTCATTACCATAGAACAGTACGTGAATTACGGTCAGACATACACAATTATATAAAAAATTTCTTCATGTTAATGGTGTTTTTTTAAATTAAAATCAACACAGTAAGATTATATTTCAACTTTCCAGCTTTTACAATTGATAAAAAAACTTCTAAAAACACTCTCAGCTTTAAATCTAAGTGGCAATGGTCAACATGTCAGTCTTGTTATTTCAGGATTGATGGCTGTGTGGATTCAAACCCTGTAAGAGGCAAGCCCTTCATTCCTCATGCAACACTTATTACAGTTATTGTTAAGTACTGGTTGATTCAAGGAATAGCTTCAAGGGTGTATCTACCAGACTATAGCTTCCTATGCAAGTGAGACAAAATAAATTCTGTATAAACAAAAACTCTGAAAAACTCCTACTGCTTGTTCAGAATTCTATGATTCAAAGTTAAAATCCCTATGATTCAAAAACAGTGCATGCGTACTTACATGTAATGCCACTGGGAAGTCATACTGCTCAGGCATTTCTCCAAAATGTATCTGATCATAGGTGTTCCTGGGGGCAAAGTTACCTGTCTGGTAAGGTCCAAGCTCTATCACATGTACCTGTAACATCATCATATAATAGTAATGAAATAAATATCTATATAACTTGACTGTTTATAAAAAGCTCCATCTGTAAATGTTGCAAAAAATTAAAAATAGAGCATGCTCCAACTTCTTTCTAAACATTAATTGAGGTGTACTTATTTTTCTCAGTCAATAATGTTAAGAAGTAGAATGGAAAAGGTTAAGAAAAAACAGTATTCAATGGCAAGTGTTTTGCATGTGTGCGTTTTTGCATTTGTGTTTATTTTTTATTTGTGGTATCTTGTTACAGTTCCTCAAATAAATTTATTAGCTACTTTCCTCAATTGTTAAAATATCTAACATGCTTTTAAGCACACATGTTTGACTATGATTGGTTGGAACTTGACTATGATAATGAACTACGACTATGAACTAGACAACTTACTTTTCCATAGGAACTGATGTCCCTGGAGCCAACACAGAATACGGTTGATGGGCAAGAATTACCAGCAAATTTATAAGTGTCAAAACAGACAGCATGACATGCTATCACCTGAGTTATGTCCTCATCCATATTGTATAGCTGTGTGAGACCTGAGATTCTGTCCTCCTGTATAAGTAAATAACTAATTGTTCAATAAATTCCGTATTGAACCTACGCTCATTCAGTAACTTCTAAATTACACAATATATTTATTTGCTAGAAGTAATTACAAATAGCCAAAGCATACTGTACACATATTCTATACTTTAAAAGTAAAAATATTCATTTTAAACATTTGAATTTACAAATTGAAATTAGAGAGTGGCGCCATGGCCAAGTGGTTAAGGCATCAGACTAGTAATCTAAGGATTGCCGACCCCATGGGTTCAAACTTTACATTCATTGCTAAGTACTGGTTGGTTCCAGGTACGGATCTGAGAGAGTTTCAATAAGCTTATAGCCTCCTACACAATCGAACTAAAATAAATTTGTATTAACTAAATTGAAATTAATATAAATGTAAAATATTTACTGTAAGATAAGTTCATTTGGAGGCCAAGAAAGGCATACGTGCCAAAGAGAAATTAGAGTATACTTTACATTTAATCACAGTGAATCTTAACGGAACAATCCAGAAAACAAAGTTGTAGAGTAATTATTAATTTTCAACTTTTAAATTTTTTTCATAAAGCTTATGTAATTTCCCACTCACCATAATTGTACCTTTGTCACTTAAATTACAAAGCAATGACATAAGTATCTAATTCAACTTCATATCAATTTACAATGTATAATTACCTCAGGAGTGAGTCCAGTAATTGCAAACCATCTTAGATTACTGTCGGCTTTGTAACTTGTGATTTCGCTAAATGCAAGTCGACTGTGCCGCAAAAATACTTTATCTGGCTGACTGTCTTCTAAAAGACAATAACATGGGATTTAATTACTTCTATATTAACTGTACAAAAAAGTCAAACAGAATTTCCCATAATCAAAACTTGGTTTAATCCAAGTTGGTTATGAATATAAAATCTCCGCTTTTTCTTTAAAAAGTAGTGTTTCAAATGATTAAAAATGATCAAACTTCAGAACAAGTTGTGTTTTTTTTTTCACTCACTTTTTTTTTTCTATTTATTCATTTAACATCAACACAGCATCTAGTCAGACCTTTGAATTATTTTAAATAGTCATTAAATACTAGTTATTTTGAATAATGCCTTACAGCACATGTTTATGTATATACATGAAACTAAATGATATCTTGCTCCCAGAAATAACTCTACTTGCACTGAAAGTAAAAAGTCTTCATTTCACAGCTTTTTTCGTAATTTGAATTCATTCTAGGTCCAAATAATAAATATATTTAAATAGATTTTCTAAATCTAAACACATAAGAACTTACTAGTTTTAAACAAACTCCAGTGAAAGACTGCAGTATCAGTTACTATAGCGATAATGTCTGAGTTAAGCCACGTCCAGTAACAAACCGGATCATGTATCTTAGTTTTGGTCAGCATCAATTTAGTCTCCACATTAAAGATCTCAAATCTCTGATCAGCTGAAAAAAAAACAACAACAACATAATTTTCATTATTCATTGTTTAAAGTGACATTATGCCTATCTAAGATTAAATGATGAGCATCCAGGTAAAATTAATGGGGTGTGTCCAGTTAAAATTACAATAACTTATCATTTTCTCAAATTTGTTTTCAATTATATAATAAACTTTAAATGAGAAAACAATAACTCCTGTGACCCACATAGATATCTATAAATATATCCTTCAGAAAAAAAGTTTGGACAGTCTTTCTATATTTTAGGCAGATTTTATATTTTATCCTAGACATTTGTCATTATCGATTATTGTTAAATCAGCATTATATTAGTCATTAATTGTCAATCTATTTAAGTATACAATTAACTTATTTCAGTTTGACATAGAAAAAATGAGAATACTGTCACTTTAACACTTAATCGGACAGAAAGAGATTAGCCTTTTCCACCAGTACACCGGTAACTCACCTACAAATATGTGTAGGGGCTATATTAGTAATAAGAAAAAATATGTACATGTAATTCACATTGCAAACAAGTGGTTTCTACAAAAATAATAGTTTTTATCCTAATGTATTTAGTACCATTCAAGAAAACAATAATGAATGCCTTTAATATTAGCTCAGTGGTAGTAAATATAGTCAGGTGTGTGTAGATGCATTTCGGCAAACTACAGCTACCACAACCGGTACTCTGATGTTTGAATAGTGCACTAAACCACATCGAGGGTTTACCACAAAACTGCAATGAAATAAAGAAGGACATACAAAAGTCTTGCGGTCAACCCTCGATTTATAGAAAGTTTGAAACCCTGATGATAAATTTCTTACCTTTTAGTGCGATGATAGGTTTTGTGGGGTTCATAAGGACAGAATCAGCACTTGTCTGTCCAGCATATGATACTGACCCATCCTTCAAACTTAACACAGTTACCTGTAAATAAGCGAGTTTTTATTAATTATATACTTATAAATGAAATAATAAATGATGACCTTATTGAGAAATATTGTGGTATGAAAATTATCAAATTTCACTTCCAGCTACTGCCACTCGCTCATGAAATATTTATTTTCATACCACTCCATGAAAATAAATCCTGTATTAATAGGAAAAAAGACAAACTTTAATATCCTCTATCAGCTTACCTAAATATATATGCACTTTTCCAATATTAAACAATACTAATCACTTAAATCTATTCCATTTTTCAACTTAATGCCAGGTTACCATAGTTACACTGTATCAGTTAACTACTAAAAATGTCAACTAATTATAATTTTGTCTTTAAAAATCATAGTAAAATTTAATTTATTAATTAAACTAATAACTCCTAAATCAATAATAAATTAGAAATTTGTCCAACAAACAAAAATGCCAGCACATTCCACTGTTTTGTCAGTTTACAAATGGACACCATGATAGACTGATGGACAAGGGCATCTTTATATGCTCTGCTCTTAGAAGTGGGGGACAAAAAATATATTTTGATAATAAAAACTTGTACCATGCATTTAGTGCCATCTTCTTTTTTCTTGCCATGTCTTATTGCGATCCATCTGTCCGAGGACAAGGTCACTCTCGACCAAGTCACTTGTTCTTGGGGTATACCTACATTAGTCAGCTGGAAAAAAAAACAATAAAAAATGTTTGGTTTAGTCATCAGTGATATTTTCCCTATATTTTACAGCCTAGTGCACACTCTCCTCTTCCTAAAAAATATTGATATTTTCTTCTAAAATTGGTACACATGTATTCCCCCTTAAATGCCACAATGCACATTTGTCACAAGAATGATGATCCAGGACCTTTTCTACCTACAACACAAGTTGAAAATTGCAAATCTTTTACTAAGTCAAGTGCAAGAACTTGAATAAATGAATAAATCCAAAAGTCAACCCTCAGGTGCGCAACTTAACATGCTGATTAACATTTCTGTAAAGTTTCATGACTCCAAGTCAAATCCTTACTGGACTATGTGCGACAAAAGAGGAAAACAGCAAATTTTACTCTATCAAGGGCAAAAACTCTATAAATACAGTCCAGACTGCCTAAGCGACCCCCTGATTTAAACGACTCCCTGTCTTATCCGACCTTGTTTCAGTACTCCCAACGTATTTTCCTATATGAATGGTCTGAATTAAACGACTCCCTGTCATATGTGACAAGCGACCCTAATTGTCTGGTCCCAATGCAATGTTTTGTCTGATTTAAACGACTTTCACACCTTTTAATTGTCCGTTGATCAGATAAAGAATACATATAATAACACCCAGAGGGCCAAAATAATTAAGTCCAATTATAATCCAGCACTGTAGCAAACAAAGTCTACACACCTCTATCTCAATTACACAGTTAGCATGTAGATACATGCAGGTACATGCAGGTACCAAGTGATGTAGCGTCTGTTCATGGGAAGCATGATATGCAATCGATGTGTGTGTAATGTACAGAATGGCCTGAGTAAACTGGGTTAAGACTTGTGTTAGATTTTTTTTTAATTATAGAGTGCCCACGGAAGATTTTTTAGGCAGCATTTTTTTAATTTACCTTTCTATGGCTGCATAATTAATACGGGAAAAATATTAATGCCAAACCAGAAAAAGCTTTGGATATGGATATGTTTACAGTAAAGATCCTGTAACACAATTTTTTCATGGTTTTATTTCATAAATATGCTGCTCAAATTAAGATTTGTCAATATTGTAAGTTCAAATAAGCATAATTTAGAAAGATATCACCCAATTTAACATTTCATGTAAATAAAGGCCATTAAAGGGAGGTAATTAGAACTTTATTTTCTATAAATTCTAAGTCAAATTTTCCAATAAGAAATCATTGCATGTAATTTATTGATTAAATATAATGTGCACAAATATTTGCAGTAAACATTTTACATATTCTTTGATGTTTGAAAATTGTTTTATTTGCATAATTATATCCATATATATTTTTTTTGCAAGATACGTAAACACAGTAACAATATCAATCACAAAACATACAGGATCTTTAAGTCACATTGGTATATAGACAGATAGATGATATTTAAATTTAATTTTCTTTGAGACTGTATTTAGAGACTCCCTGTCATATGCGACTTTTTTTCTGAAGATCCCTTGGAAAGTCACATATGACAGTAGTCTCGACTGTAATGGAAAAAATCAACAAGCAAACAGCTAGGCCCCCAACTGCACATGCTGTCCTGACTAACATTTCTGTAAAGTTTCATGATTCTAAGTCAAATATATTTTCAGCTACATGCAGCACAAACTGAAAATTGAAGTTTACCAAGTCAAGGGCAATAACTCTTAACAAAAGAGATTTAATCAACAGACAAAACTAGGTTTCAAAAACCCTTTAAAAATGTGATTTAAAAATTCTTTTTAAAAGGTTTATTTTAGCTCAACCCCTTTTAAAAGCTACATATTGGGCAAACATGGAATGAACACACACAATGACGGAACAGATGAACGAACTATGGTAAATCTAAATGCATTAAAAAAATAAAATCAGACATGTTTCATTTGAAACATTAATGCCCCAAAAGGCTTGTCTTTTATTCCTTTATGTTGAAGAAAAAAAAAGTTTTATGTTTTAAACTTTTAAATCAGGTTTTAAAAAATGTGAAAAAATTTAAATTTTAGTAGGGGTTGTGATTGTTCACTGGTCTGCAGTCTTAAAACAAATATGAACTCTCATAGTTTTGACTTCCACTGTTCCAGAACTTTGTCTTTGTATGTTGCTTTTAGGATTTTTATCATTGGGTAACAGCAATACAGTATGTCTCAGTTCTTGTTGCCTTTCAATATAAAAATGGCTTCAGTGAAAAGGTTTAGCAATAGTTGGTAGATCTGTGAAACGGTATTCTGAGGTTTCGGTTCGTGTCCCGGTCAGGCTGCACATTTTTTCACCCTGTGGCATTTGGCGCCCAAAGCGGGACCGTGACTGCATACAGCTCAGAATTTATTAACATGCTCTGTAACTCAGTTAAATTCGAGGATGTTCAATATAGCAGCCCCTGGGAGTATGTCACGGTTCAGAACTGTTCACTATTTTGGGGAGTAAGCCGCCAGATAGCTCAGTCCGTAGAGCCGCGGAACGGTTTTCCAAGGGTTCTGGGTTAGAGTCCTAGTCAGGCTGCACATTTTTCATACCCTGTGACATACTATTAAACATGTTATGATGTTTTCTGACTTCTCTTTAGCTAGAACACTGTAGAACAGTTACATTCACCTGCTCAGTGTGCATACTGACCTTTATGAGTTCAGTTATCGTGACAGGAGGGCCTATTTCGGCCATTCTCGTTAGCAGTGCATCAGAATTTATCACATATTGTCAGCTGAAATGATTTTGACAAGTGACTTTCCTTACGATTTGATCAAAAGAACTTTTGCAAACTTTTTTCTATTTTTTTTTCTGAAGTTCACTCTTCATCAATGGAAATACAAAAATAGTGGTCCAATAATACGAAATTAATTTTTTTCCCGAAAAGATCGTTTAAATATCGAAAAAAGGTAATTTTTGGCGGAATGTAAAGAATTGAATTTTGTTTTAAAATTTCCCAGGGTACAAAAATCAAGGAAGTAGATACATGTATTACCTTACCAATTCATGAAGTTACAGGGATGTAAATGGTTTGTGTCCCTTTAAATATAAAACTTACAAGAAGATGACATAGATTTGATTTGTGATCTGTAGGTACGTATATATCGAGATTGAACACCTGATTTTGCAAATGTCAGCCATTAATTTTGTGTTATTTTCTTGTGGATTGATATCAAGTTGGTTTTTTGTTGTTGTTTTTTTCTCTCTTTAAAAAAAACAAAAAAACAGCAGGTGTCCGGTTCTTTGCTGCAGCTGTAAAAAGTTGCCCTGTAGTTTATTTCAGTGTTGTTATATATTTTTTCTGGTCCATCGGGTCATTTATTTCAAAATTTTTACTATTGAGGATAAAATAACGCTTCCAGTGCTAGGGGGATACATTACATTATTTCCATGAACAGACTTTATCACTCCACATCTGATAAAATATTGGCTCTTGGGAAACCGTTTTTATTCACTTTCTGCATGATCAGGGACGCAGCCAAATAAGTTATTGGTCTTGTTAAAGTTGTTTATGCTGATGATGCTCTAAATATAAGCTCGAGTATTTTCGATACTTCTTGGAGTAAGGTGCATGTGAAATGTGGGGTACTGTGAATATTAAAGATCCTGTATGTGGTTTACCACACTAAGTATAATTATATATATGTACATAATTATGGAAATAAAACAATTTTCAAACATCGAAGAATATATAAAATATGTACTGCAAATATGTGTGCATATTATATGTAATCGTTAAAATATATGCATTCATTTCTTATTGTAAAATTTGACTTAAACTTTATAGAAAAATAAACTTTTATTACCTCCCTTTATTTACATGAAATGTTAAATTCTGTAATATATTTATAAATAATGATTTTTCGAACCTGCAATATTGATAAATCTTAATTTGAGCATCATATTTAAGAATTAAAACCAAAAAAAAGAATGGTGTTACAAGATCTTTAACTCCTGTATTGTTAAAAAAGACGTTTATGTTGTTAAAAACTTGTATTATGACAAATTGCACATGGAAGCTTTACAAACACAAAAATTCTGCTAATGATGCTATTCTTGGTGAAACTGGAAGATATACATTATACGAAAATATAATTACACAATCAACAAAATACTTTAGAAGGCTTTTCTACTCAAAAGCAACCTCACTGGTATACTCTGCATATTGAGAAATTTTAATCTTGCAAGCAAACAACAGAAATAGTTGGGTATCAAGTATGATCTTGTTTTAGATAATCTTAACGTCACCAAACATTAGTATTATTGTAAGAAATTATCGAAAATTGATAAAAATTTAGCTGTAAGTGAGTGTAAAACAAATGGGCAGAACGGTTAGATACATGCTACAAAGAACACAGTGGAAAATCGAAAACTTACACAAAATTTAAAAAAAGTTTTATGTATGAACCTTATTTCGACGTTATTAAAGATTCTGTTAAAAGATCGTCTCTTATTTAATTTCAAATTAGTGCTCATAAACTACTAAAACTAGTAATAGGAACGGGAAGATATCGAGAATACCGGTCAATGATAGAATCTGCAAATATTGTCTATTATAAGATATTGAAACAGGAAAACACTTTATTTTGAGATGACATCTTTATGATTTTGAAAGAACTTTATTAACTTCTCATATATCTGAAAAGGTACCAAACTTTAAAACTCTAAAAATGTCAGAACCGTTTATTCATATGATGTTTAGTGAGAATGATGATACTTTTTATGTTGTAGCAAACTTTGTCCATAAACGTTTTTCATGAAGACTCGAATTTCTAAAAAATGTAACATCAAATTGAACTTACATAGTGGATCATTTGACTTACTAGTATATACATTTTCTTCTTTATTCGCTTTTGTCATTTAATATACTTTAGTTTCTGATTGTTACAAAGTATTTTGTTAGTTGTGTTTGCTAATTATAATTAAGCCTTAGTTATGTTTAGTTCTGTACATCTTGTACAATATCATTATTATGTTATAACATGTCTGTATTCTATTGGACTTCCTTCAAAGTCTGTGTGCTTCACACCAATTCAGAAAAATGCCCAAATCTATGCCTTTGCTAATTTCATTTTTTTTCTAATTTCAAAAAGAGCTACTTTATTATTAATGGACCTAATTTGATAATTGTACAAATAAACAATTGAAGAGTCATGTATTGAATTCAAATAACTTTAATGACATAAAACAAATAATGCATACATAAATGAGGCATTCTTTCACAAGTGAATAAATATACTGAGTGGAAGAAATGTTATTTTTGACTTTTTGCAATATCTCCAAAAGTCATCTAACAATAAAAAAAATCATCTTGAAATATGAGACTATAACTAGTTCACTTTTACACTCATTTCATATTCTCTAATGTATATACCTTTTTTGTCATCAAGGATAATACACCACATAAAAGAACACAAGCACATAAAGCACATAAATCGTCTTGCATTATTACTCGATGTAAAAGTAATACGATAATTTACAAGTCACACCTTCTCTACATTTATAGTTCTTCTGAACTTTAAAACGAAAAAGAATCTTTTCGCTAAAAAGTATCATTATTTATTTAAACCGGTGCGATAGTATACTTAACTACTTCCGGTTGCGAGATTTATTGAAATATTGGACATTTTCAGATTTTAACGAATTTTCGAGACAGGTTTGTTTTTAGCAAGTGTCAACCAATAAATGACAATATTCCTGTTTCTGTGCCCTAAAGACTTCTTATAGAACAAAATGTCAAGACAGGTGAAACAGCCAGTAGGTCAGAAGAGACTGACAAATGTTGCAATAGTAAGATTGAAGAAAGGTGGAAAAAGATTTGAAATTGCCAGCTATCCAAACAAAGTAAATTCATGGAGAAACAAAGTGTGAGTATAAAAAATTGTGAAAAAAATATCTTAAGGATATTGTTGTAGTATTTGAAATTAGCACTTGCCCAATTTTCTGCCTATCATAATAGCAAGCTCGAAGAGCTGGCCCAAAGGGCCTGCTCGCAAAGCCAGCTTTATGGTTTGAGGCTTTCCCTTTTTCATATTATGAAATTAGCCAAAGCCTATGAACGGGGAAGTCGGTAAAAAAAAGTTCATTTTTCCATTTTAAAGGTGTCATTAGGTATGTCATGCACCGCTTCCATTTTCACTCGGAATATTAGACGATTATAATTAATCTGAAAAGTTGCGATTGTTTGTTAATGGAATACCCCGCCTATTATCAGTGAGTCACAATTAAAAATGGCAGCGCCCAACTAGAACTGACACTGCAAATTTTATTGATAGGTATAGAATTATAAATATTCTTTAAATGTTTTATTTATTTGATTTTCTTTTAAATATACACATGTTGTCTATACCTGGGCAAGCCAAGGCTGGTGCCCGCTTCGCGGTCCCGGCCTTTGACTTCCCCTTATCAGTTGGGCAAGTTAAGATCTGCTTCAAATAAAAAAGGACAATTAACTCAAAATTAGATTTTACCAGTCAAACTTCCAATGCACAGCTTGTTACATGTAATAGTCAAGAGTCAGGTTTCCAACAGTACAGTGAGAGAAAGAAAGAAGAAACCTTTGCAAACTTAGTGAAAGTTATAAATCATACCCTCATGGTAATAATTCAGCAAGGGTTTCATGGGTCAGCAAAATATATATATTCAGGAAGTAAATTCTAAAAAGTAAATGACCCTTGTAGCAAGCTAAATGTACCAAATCAGCTTAGCATGTTAAATCTGGGATGGTGGATGATTTAAAAGTTAAGCCATAGAGGAATTGCAATGAACAATGCCCAGAACTTAGATATTTGACATGTAGCTTTGCCTAAAGCCCCAGTCACATTAGAGCTTACGACCAGCGAAGACCAATTAACGATCACCAGTGACCTCTGGTCGCGGACAATTTTTAAAACGTCTCACGACGATCATAGGTGATCTTTGAAAGTCGCAGGTTGTCTAATTTAGGTCCCACGACCAATTTCAGTCGTAGAGAGGTTTTTGAGCTTGCACAAAAACCTCCTTGCAATAAAACAGGTCACTAGTAATCTTATATGATCTTAAGGCTGTCGTACGATGGTCGTTCGGAAGTGCGACAATCTTACGACAGTCTTTACAAAGTGCCTCCAGTCACTGCTAATCTTAAGTAGTCTTTGGTAATCGTGTGATGGTCGTACGACAAGTTGTAGTTGATTGCATGTTATGTCACGGGTAGTCGTAAGTAATCCCGGGCAATCTTGAGACCATTGTACGTTTACTTATGACCTGTCGTGCGATTGTCAATGATGACTTGTCTTAAGATACTCGCAAAAGTAAATTTATCTGTGCAAAAATGGTTTTGGTCGCAGACAATCGCTGATGATCGTCAGTTTTACAAGTCGCTGGTGGTCGCAAGTAATCGTAAGCTCTAGTGTGACTGGGGTTTTATGGACCTCTAGAAAAGTAATTAACATTAATCATAACCATATATGCAATATTTTCTAGACTGCATTCCAGGACACCTTTTTATGTAGCCCAACAAATTGTGCACTTTAGGGCTTTTTTTATTATATAGACAATGGTCGCCCTTTGCTGATGTCTGTGTAGTATAAGTTTGTTTAGTCGGTCAGTCTTGCAGTTGAAATATTGAGACTATTTTTCATAGAGGTCAGCAAGCTATTTGTTTCTTAAATTTGGATAGTGGTATTACAGATATTTACAACTTGCAAATATTAAGTAAGTAAGTAAGTAAAGTTAATTTATGTAACATAGGCCTCCGGCCCAAAATACAACATAATACAACAAACATGAAATAGCAGTGGTAAAATACAATGAGATGATCATAGATATACATGTACATAGTAAATTGTAATATAAACATTGGTAGACATCATATCAATTTTTCTTTGAAGATATATAGAGATATTAAGAGAATTTCGTAGATCAGTTGTAGAATACACTTTATAATTACCTTTATAAAGTTTTATGTATGTATTTCTTTTAAGTACTGAATTGGCGTTTATATTTAAGTGCATGATCGAGAAAACGTGCGATAGTCTTATATAATGTCACATCTGCGTTTCTTAGAACAGATATAAATTTTTCACATGAAGGATTTTTCACCAATATATCTGGTAGAATATTTTTACGTATAGTATTAAAGTGAATACAAATCAAGAGAATGTGATATTCATCGTCTAAGCCCGTAAAACAGAGAGGACATATCCTTTGATCAATTGGTATATTATTGAAGAATCCAGTGTTATAACCCAAGGGCAGTAAACCGCCTCTTAATTTTACAATGAGCGACCTGTAATATAAATTTTCAATTTGATCTAGGTACGATTCTCTTATAAAGTCAATTTTAATACTTTTATAAAACAACAGTCTACTAGATGAATCAAGAGCCTCCCGCCATGTTTGAACATCAATATCGCGCAATCTTTGAGATAATTCGCGACAGAACAAGCCAATATTTCCTACTCCCTGGTTAATCCATACATGACCAAATCCATTTATGAAAAGAACACGCCTAATTTGAAATGCCCAGCAATCAATGTTATTTTCTGCCCACCGGTATTGGACTTTATAGCATAATAAAGGTAATCTATTTTCATTCATTTTTAGCTTGACTATTCGATAAGAATAAGTAGAGCTATTGCAGTCACCCGAGCGTCGGCGTCGACGTCGGCGTAACCACTTTTGTTAAAGTTTTTGTAATAGTTCAAATATTTTCAAAGTCCATTGACCTATGGCTTTGAAACTTTGCACACTTGTTCACCATCATGACCCCAACCTGTAGACAAGAGGAGGTAACTCTATCAAGCATTTTGACAGAATTATGCCCCTTTTTCGACTTAGAATTTACGTTAAAGTTTTTGTAATAGTTCAAATATTTTCAAAGTCCATTGACCTATGGCTTTGAAACTTTGCACACTTGTTCACCATCATGACCCCAACCTGTAGACAAGAGGAGGTAACTCTATCAAGCATTTTGACAGAATTATGCCCCTTTTTCGACTTAGAATTTACGTTAAAGTTTTTGTAATAGTTCAAATATTTCAAAGTCCATTGAAATATGGCTTTGAAACTTTGCACACTTGTTCAACATCATAACCCCAACCTGTAAACAGGAGAAGGTAACTCTATCAAGCATTTTGACAGAATTATGCCCCTTTTTCGACTTAGAATTTACGTTAAAGTTTTTGTAATAGTTCAAATATTTTCAAAGTCCATTGACATATGGCTTTGAAACTTTGCACACTTGTTCACCATCATGACCCCAACCTGAAAACAGGAGGAGGTAACTGTATCAATCATTTTTTTTACTTTCAAGCACTAAGAATAGTCGAGCGTTGCTGTCCTACCGACAGCTCTTGTTAGAATCCTAAACCAGTATTTGATTGCTTTAAGAACTCTGTTACAATATAGTGAAAAACGGCCCAACTCTCCATATACATACTTATTAGGAGTTGACCAGTTTAATTTTAATGCATATTAACAAAACTTGTTATGTACGATATCAATATCTTTAGCTTAATAAGAAAACCAAATTTTAGAGCCATATGTCAATATAGGTTGTATTTTTGTGTCAAAAATTTTGAACAATATTAATAGAAATACAGGAAGTTGTCCGAATCTGTATAAATTAGTTTTAAGTGAAAAAATAGCTTTATTTGCTTGTTCAGATAATGTTTTTTGACACATATACCATGATAATCTAGACGAAAACACTATTCCTAAATATTTAAAGTAAGACGATACTAATACTAATATTAGAATAAGTCAAAACAGACATTATGTCAAAAATATCAGCAATTTATCTATCTTTTATAAATTTATAAAGCTAACAACATCTGACCAAAGCATCATGGCCCTCCTGTAATGATTTTTCACCACTATTGTTGTTTCATATGATGGCCATTATTGGAGAATTGGCATATACATATACTTGACAAAGTAAATGCCAAATTGACTATTTTTAGTAAGCAACCATTATGTGATACTTCGTTTAAATGCTTTCAATAAATTCAAAAGGAAATTTCTTTTCAGAGAGACAGATATTGATGAAGTTTTGCAGACACATACAGTTTTCACAAATGTTTCAAAAGGGGAAGTAGCTAAAGCTGTGGACTTAAAGAAAATATTTGGAACAGACAATCAGCCTGAAATTTGTTTAGAGGTAAACTTCAAATGATAACAGTGAATATAGTTGTTTGTTGAATTGTATTCTTTATTTTATCTGTATTATTTTTCTACAACTGCATCTTAGTTTAAGAAGTCAAGATACTATAAAAAGGAAAATGCTTATTATGAAATATTTGGAAAAATTCTCACATTAAAGAAAGTAAATGATAAAAGATCAGGTTATATATGTATATCATGATTAATACTTTAGAACCCTTATTTTCTTTAAGGGGAGTTACATTTTCCAACAGAAGGGTTTTCATTAAAGTACAAAGAATGTTAAATTTTGTCAAAATATAAAGAATATTAAAAAGGCTTTAAAATTTTGTGTTGCATTTTGCTGAAAGTAGATGTACCAGAAGTTTTGAAAATTGAGATAATTTTTTTGGTTACTCAAGTTTCCTATTTTGTTGAAGGGAGAAGGTTTGGGGGCATTTGGCATTTATTAGAGAAAATAAAGGACATTGATAAATACAAGTGATAATTTGTTTTTACTTGTTATTTTTGTTCAGCAAATTTTTGTTAAACATTTTAGCAAAAGGTGATCTGCAAGTACATGTGATAACATTTTTTTAAGGAATTAAAGATTTGTTGTTTTTTTCAAGATTTTAGCTAAAGGTGAACTGCAGGTATCAGAGAAGGAGCGTCATGCTCAACTGGAATCTATGTTTCGAGATATAGCTACTATAGTATCAGATAAATGTGTGAACCCCGACACAAACAGACCATATACTGTCACCATGATAGAGAAAGCTATGAAGGAGCTGCATTTCTCTGTTAAACCTACCAGAAATACAAAACAACAGGTATAGTATTTCTTGTTCCTCTTGGATATCAGGAGGGTTGTTATCAGGAGATGGCTGTATGCGAAAATGGCTGGCTTAAATGCATTTAAGGCCTCCTTAAAACGTAAAAAACACACTGTTGCATGTGATAAAACTGAATTTAAGGCAGTCCATCTCAAGAGAACTTTTAACGACTACCCTGTTGGATATCAGATATTGTTTTAAAAAATTTGTGTCTGTTAAACAGTTAAATATGTCAACATGTGAGAACGATTGAAATACATGGTATAGAATGTGGATATTATGCTCCTTGAAGGTTTTTCTTAGAGCATATAATAATTAGTTTAGGACTGAAATGACCTCATAGGGCATTGGGGCTTACACGGGATTGGGACATAGGGCCCTCACTGTAGAGGAATTTCACATCCTTTTAAGGAAATGAGGATTTTTGTCAGCTGACAGCAATACAAACAATGTTAAGTATCACATATTTTATTTTGCAAATACATTGTAGCAGATTTCAATAAGATTTTGTTAAGTGTCTCCTTAAAGCAAATATATATAAGAAAATTGTAAATGTTTATTTGATGTGTTATAAAGCAGTATTGTCACATTTGCTTATCTTTCAGGCATTAGATGTTATAAAACAGTTCACAGAGAAGGAAACAATCAAAATACAGAGAGCTTATATGAGACTTAAACTCACAATACCAGGTAAGCATAGGCTCTTTTTATGCCCCTACATTGTGGGAGCATATAGCGTTGCACTTGTCCGTCCGTACGTCTGTCCGTCCGTACGTACGTCCCAAAATCTTGTGAACGCAACTCCTCTTAAACCGGATGGCAGATTTTGCTTAAACTTTCAGGGATGAACAACCTAAATGTGTAGATGGTAGTAAAGGAAGGAATTATTGCTGCGACCAAATTTAACAGAATTATGGCCCTTTGTTGATTTTTTCACTATATACTATGTAGAAATTTTTTGAACGCATCTTCTCTTAAACCGTGTGGCAGATTTTGCTTAAACTTCCAGGGATGAACAACCTTAATGTGTAGATGGTAGTTAAAGAAGGAATTTTTGCTGCGACCAAATTTAACAGAATTATGGCCCTTTGTTGATTTTTTCACTATATACCATATAGAAATTTTGTGAACGCAACTCCTCTTAAACCGGATGGCAGATTTTGCTTAAACTTTCAGGGATGAACAACCTAAATGTGTACATGGTAGTGAAGGTAGGAATTTTTGCTGCGACCAAATTTAACAGAATTATGGCCCTTTGTTGATTTTTTCACTATATGCTATGTAGAAATTTTTTGAACGCAACTCCTCTTAAACCAGACGGCAGATTTTGCTTAAACTTCCAGGGATGAACAACCTTAATGTGTAGATGGTAGTAAAGGAAGGAATTTTTGCTGCGACCAAATTTAACAGAATTATGGCCCTTTGTTGATTTTTTCACTATATACCATATAGAAATTTTGTGAACGCAACTCCTCTTAAACCGAACGGCAGATTTTGCTTAAACTTCCAGGGATGAACAACCTTATTGTGTAGATGGCAGTAAAGGAAGGAATTTTTGCTGCGACCAAATTTAACAGAATTATGGCCCTTTGCTGATTTTTTCACAATATTCCATATAGAAATTTTGTGAACACAACTCCTCTTAAACCGAATGGCAGATTTTTCTTAAACTTCCAGGGATGAACAACCTTAATGTGTACATGTTGTCAGTGGGGGCATCCGTGTCCTTTGGACACAGTTCTAGTTTGCTTACACACTTGAAGTTCTTTAAATAGTGCCTGCTATGGTCTACATAAATACAATAAAAGATGTCGTGGGACTCCATCTGCAATAACCATTGGTGGAAAGTTGTCATATCATAGTAAGTTAAATTGTTGCTGTTACACAAGTTCAAAAAATTCTTGTTGTTACACAAGTTCAATAAAAATATTGTTGCTATAACACAAGTTCAAAAATTGTTTCTGTTACACAAGTTCAAAAATTGTTGCTGTTACACAAGTTCAAAAATTGTTGCTGTTACACAAGTTCAAAAATTGTTGCTGTCACACAAGTTCAAAAAATTGTTGGTGTTGCACAAGTTCAATATAAATATTGTTGCTATTACACAAGTTCAAAAATTGTTGCTGTTACACAAGTTGAAACATTGTTTCTGTTACACAAGTTCAAAAAATTGTTGTTGTTACACAAGTTCAATAAAAATATTGTTGCTATTACACAAGTTCAAAAATTGTTGCTGTTACACGAGTTGAAACATTGTTTCTGTTACACAAGTTCAAAAATTGTTTCTGTTACACAAGTTGAAACATTGTTTCTGTTACACAAGTTCAGAAATTGTTGCTGTCACACAACTTCAAAAAATGTTGCGGTCACGCAAGTTCAAAAAATTGTAGGTGTTGCACAAATTCAACCATTACAGAATATACTACATTTGGGATTAACCCTTACTCCACTTAATATCTTAAAGGCAAGTTATGTCTCAGAATTTTTTTTCCACTTCTTCAGAAAGGGCAGACGTTAATTTTATACTTGTACTTTTTAAAAAATGGTTGTAAATAATGTTAGCTTGGTACCTGAAGAAAGTAGTAATAAATCTGACATAAATTGTCATAAAAGTTATAAAAGTTGTTCAGGGAATTGGTCAATTGAATGGATACTATAAAAGTAAACTAAAAAAAAAGCTTTTTGAAAAATAAAAGCTATTCTGAGGCATGATGGGCCTTTAAATGGACTTACCTGTCTTTCAATCTTCACAGGACATTTATCGAATTTAGGGAAACTTTCAAAATAATGAACATACTGACTAAATAACAAACAATGCAGACCATCTTTTGATGATTGTCTTTTTTTCTGTTAGGGAAAGAAGGAAGAAAATTACAGCCTAAAATAAAGAAAATAGCAAAGAAAGTTGAGAAAGATGAGTTTGATGATGAACTTGAAATGGTATGTACTATTTTAAAATTAATAAACAGTCATTTAAATTATATTAACAGTTGATAAAGTTACTGGGTTCAACATTACTAGATGTTGTAGATCACTGCAATTGCTAGTTTTGGAGAAGCCAAAAAGACAAAAAAAACCTGCATGCACAGTTCTGTAAAATCAGAAATTTTCAAAAGGGATTAAATTTTGTAAATTGAATTTTTTGCAAAAAAAAAACAAATTTTCACTAAATATCCTGATATCATATAATTTTATCAGAAATGAAAGTAGAAAATAGGGAATATTTAACCTCAGTAAATATTCTAATATGTCGATTTTGTGGAATTTTACCTACGCAAATTATTTGTTATTATTTTTATAATCTGATATATTTTGACAAAAAGTCTAATCATTGTCAAAATCTGTTTCTCAAGTTATATAGATGTCCTCCTAATTGTAATAAATCTCAATATAATAATTACAGGTAGTGCTTATAGATCCTGGGTCATTTAGGGAAATAGAGGAGCTTGTAAGAGAGTTAACTAAAGGCAAGGCACAGATTGAGGTGTTAAGTTTAAAGGTAAATATCTGCTTGTGAAGCAATGTTAACTCTGTTAAAATTACTCTTTTTAACTGTTCTTATTTTTAATATGTGATGAATAGAATATTATATTTGTATTCAATACTAAACTTACTGAAATCATTAAATAAAACAGAGACTTGCAGAATATGATTTTTTATTTAACTTGTTCAATCAATTAGTATTAATCAACACTCATTTAATATCTTATATTTAATAAATGCTATGATTAATTTGGATCATATTCTTTGCTATTGGGAATATTATTAGGATCTACTTTTTCATTCAAACTTCCTTGATGCTTTGGAGTAAAAATAAATCAGTGTAGTATTGATGGTTTGGGCTTCATACTTGATCTTTTAATATACTAGTATTTTGGATAGAGTACTAAGTACAAGTTTTATGCTTGAAGTTTCATTGATCATTTAGCTGTAACTCTTCAAATTTCGTTACAGGATGTTGAAGAAGGAGATGAGTTTTTTGAATGAGAGAACTTCTGACTTAGATAAACAGCAAACTGTTAATTGTTTTTAATCAAGACAGATGTACCTAAAGACAGGTGACAAATAAAGAGGAGAGTGTTCGATAACCAGTATTCCTGCAATACATTTAGCCATTACCCCTTTGAATGATAGTGGCGCTAATAACCATGCCCATGCAACAACCTTAAAGCCATACTAGACACTTTACCATAAAATTGCTTGATGTTACTTTATTTATATTGACACCCCCTTAAAATAACAATGAACTGTCCCAAAATTCAAAGTAGAGCTGGTCCATTATATATAAATAAAGGTGTTTTAAGAATAAGTATTTATCCCTTTACCTGCTATATTTCCATGCTTTGATTTTGAAACAGTCTATTCGATGTTCAAGTGATTTCAGTATCAAAATACATAAATTTAGCTGCCAACAGTATAGACCCTAGACAGACTGCACAGATGTTCAGACTGGCCTGGCTCTATACTGGTGGCAAAGGCTGATCACTTGGTTCAAGCAGGATAAGTTTTTTTGACGGTCACAACTCAATATTCTAAAATTTATGGGTGAAGGGAATGTTAAGTTTAGAGTTACCATTTTGTGTTATTTTATATAAGGTACATGTACACATGTACAGTGTCTATTTTAGGATTTGAAAAACGGGGGATTTTTATCGTAAAGTAAGAATTTATAATATTTGTTGATCATTTTCCTTCTTTCTCTATGTAAAATTCCCCCCCCCCCCCCTGCCTCAGAAAAAATAGGGGGAATTCTCAAAAATATGAGTGAATCCCCCATCCCCCCTCCTAGAATAGACACTGCATGTAATTGATATAGCTGTTATAGTCAACTGTGATGTCATTCTGTGTAAGGGACTGAGTCTGTTACTTGCAAGTCTGTTACTTGCAGAGAAATTGGTAATTATTTTATTAATTGTACTGGTTAGTTATCCAGGAAAACCTGTTAAGTTGATCATCCGCCGATATGACCAAAATCATGTGTTAAAATCGGTTTCGATTAAATATGAACTTAAAGTTCTCTGCGATTATTTTAACTGCTGCTGAAGCGTACAGTTTCACTTGTCCGCATTTGAGGTAGTTGTGAATCCATTTGAGAGATTTTGAATGTATTGTACATTGCTTTGCTGTATGTTTATCATACCTCAACTTTTTAAGGCACATTATGCCTCAGAAATCCATGTTTTGATTCTTAAGAAATGTCAAACATATGTTTAATTATTATTTCTTGCTAAAAAAACTAAAAATTTAATATAGAAAACCCGCTAAACATTGCAAGTTTCTTTTATGACATCTTTTCTGTTATACTGAATAAATAATGAATTAAGAGTATGTTTAATACTCAACAACTGATAAAAAATAGTTCAACATGCAGTGATGTGTTGTAAAGGTAGCAAAATGTAAACAAAGTACCATTTTGACTTCCATACAAAATACTAATTCACTAAATAAACCATTTGCCAACAGTGTAATATGGACTAAAGATATTTTATATATTTGGCTCGTGAGTATTTGTTTTGAAAGTGTGACAAGATACCAAAGATAAAAAAGTTTTTGAGAAATGAAAATTATAGCATTTCTAAGGCATAATGGGCCTTTAAATTATCATTTTTATTTTGAGAGTGAAATTGATATTACAGACATTGAAAATTATTTTTGTATAAAAAGTGTCAAATAGGGATTTTATGCAACTATTACACAACAGGTATGTCTATAGTTTTTCAAGTGATTCTAAAAGAAAACGCATACATAATTATATTCATATATTTTGCCAAAGATGAAGATACAACAAATTATTGTTTGCAACAAAAAATGAATATACTTTTATGTGTTTTGCAGTTTTCTGATTTTCTTGTTATGTTGTTTAAAGTTCTTGTTTTTGTCTGTTCCAGAAATTTTTGTTTGACATTTCTTTGAAAACTATTGCGATATAAAAATATGCATTACTTTTTGTAACAATGATCATGCAAGAATGGTTTAAGAAATAGTTAAGTGCTAATTTAATAGTGGTATTATTACGTTTGTTAATGATTGAAAGTTTTATGTATACATTTATCAGTGCCTATTGTATGAGTATGTATAAATATGTTATGTAATATGCAAGTAAGAAAGTCATGTGCCAGAAATTATACATAGAAAAACCGGCATGCCGCAGCCCAGACTTGAGCACTTGGATTTCTGGTCCAGTATGCTAACCACTACACCAGAGCTGCCATGTGTGTGCGATATATTGTTATTGTTAATTTGCCCTGATGAGAATAATTGTTTCTAGGTCAGCAGCTTATTAAAATGATAAAACACTATTAATGTCAGTTGTTTCTTTTTTTCGTATAATTTTCTTGTTCTGGCATTTTTTTGTTCTTTTTAAGGGGTACTCATTACTGAGATTATGCCATCTTTTGATTTTAAGCTCATCAAAGCACAAAGTTTAAATTGTGTACTTCTGTGATCACTCATCATCCATTGTTAGCCTTCCAATTGAAGTAGCATCAACCTCTTGACCACTAACTTATACAAATGTTATTACACTTATTTGGCAATTCCCTTTTTAACATGTTGAAAGGATTTCCTGTCATGCTGCTTGAAAAAAAAATCATCTCTTTTGGAAAGTGAAACAAGGGTGAAATGTGATTTGTAAAGGTCTAAGAAAAAAAAGTTAAAAGTATGTCTGATTATAATTTTATAAAAAGATTTTTCTGTTACCCTCGAACATGATTTTACTAAAAGTTTGAATACTAGTGAGGCAGAACCTTTCTTCTACAATGAAGAGCAATTTTAGACAGTCATTGCCCTCTTTGTTTAAAGGTTAGTGTACTATATATATTTGTAGTGTTGCATTACATCAATAACTTATATGCGCAATGCAGAAATTCTATGGTGCTATTTTGCTATGTTATTCATTTTATAAAAACATTAATCTAGTGTTTAGTATGAATGGACATTATACTCTAGAAAGGAAGTTTAATTCATTAATCACTGCTTTGTTTTGTGAAAATCAGTTAATTAAAAAAGGTAGTAAGATTTATGTTATTGCTGTTAAAGGTCTTACATGTATATAGTTTTAAGCAGTAGGTGTTGAGTATTACTACCAGATTATTTAAGCATATTTATCACAGATTCTTATTATTCACGGGTATTGACTTGTTGGAAACAATACATGGAGTATTTAATCTGATATCACTCATTATAAAAATGTATTCTGCATCTATTGGTCCTAACATCTGTTACAAGTTATAGATATTATATATAACTTCATAATACTGATAGACTAACATTTTGCATTTTTGAACCTATTAGTTTTTCTAGAATCAATTTAAATACTTATTGCACATTTCAATGTGTTGTCACGTTAATTTTATCTTTTATATTCTACGATATGTTTGACACGAGGAAGTTTACTTATACGCACACTGCCATGTTACATGTATCTTTACTTTTTTACAAGAATCAAAAGAAGAGAAGAAAAAAATGTAAATAAAACAAGATTACAGAAATCGATCAACACTAAGGGCCAATAAATATCATGCAAGGGATTTTGGGTCTGGATGGGAAGTTTTTTCTATTTTTAGAGCTACTTTTCCCTCTATCATAAAAGTCTCTGTATAAGAAAGTATGATAATGATCTGCTTATATATATCAGTCATTATATGTGTATACTATTAGTTATAAAGATCGTTGGACAGGTTATATGGCCCTATATTACGGCTATTTGTAAATATAACCCGAGCGGTTAGGCTAGGGTTATTTTGCAAACAGCCGTTTATATACGGCCATATAACCTGTCAACAATCTTTATAATGAATTTATAATACAGCAAGCATCATTTTTAGAGCAAAAAAGTAAGATTTCTTCATGAATCGACAGCAGCCGTGTATATAAAACTATAAAAACGTCACGATTATCCAACGAAAAATGACGTTACAAACGTGTAGTATTATTATATATGATTATCCCACCAATGTTACAGTTTATAAAAACTTTGGAGTTTTAATTTGTTTTTATTTATGGAAATAGCAACTCTATAAATTGAACTTTCTGTTTAGCACAGTAATGTGATAGGGAAAAAAAGTGTCTTAAATCAATGTTTTACCTCACCTTATATAGCTTTCACAGTTTTAAGCATTCTCATATCTGGCAATACTAAATTCTTGTTACTTTAATAGAAACATATGTTAACATACGTTGTTATTTTGAACTGAAATGCACACTATATTTAATTTTAGACTCTTTAGTAACAAGGTATTATTTTTCATGTTTTTAAGACCACTTATTACTATATTATAATGCCAATTAAATAAAAAGAGTAAACCAAGGAAATTATGTTGTTCTTTACTATCATAAGTTATAATGTGTTAGATTACTTTGCATTAGGTTATCTATTTTTTTTTAAATTGAAAATCCACGAATTTAAGAACCCACGAAAATGCCCATTGTGATAAAACCACGAAATTTCATTAGTGGGCACGAATATAAGTGAATTCGCAGTAAATGGCATAAGAACTGTTGCAGTAAAAAAGGTGTATTTAAAAATTGATGGATTACTTATTAAAATGAATTTATTTATCACAAATAAAACTTCAGACCTTTATTCTAGATTTATCTCAGCTGCTGAATTACATTATCCATGCTGAGATGTTGGAAATTGTCTTACCAAAATAGGTTACAAAATGTTGCTGGTGCAGAATTGAGGAAATTTATGATAATGAAAGGCAATATTCTTTCCAAGTGTCTGACATAATAATGCAAGGGACGATATACAAATCAGTACTTCATTTTCGTAAAATGTTAAAAATGAACAAACAAACAAAAACACCCTTAAGTAATAATGAGTGCATTATTTAATAACTGTTAAATTTCTAAAACCACAAACAAATCTTCAAACATTTTATGATTTCACCAAGAATCAACAGTGTCCCATATATCTTTAGGTAATCTCACTTTGGAGAAATCCTCTCTCCAAAAGTTATCTGGTAAATCATCACAAGAAACGAAATCTTGTTCAGTTAATAACCTAACCACACAATTTGACAGCAATGAATTTAACCTTATTTCACATTCTGTCTTTTGTGGTAACAATTCCAAGATATCTGTATCTTTAACCTGTGTGCCTTGTTCAGTGAATGATTTTGTTATATCAACCATGATTGTACTGACAGGTGCTGTGTTTGTTGGTCGCTCATTTGGCAAGGCATTATAATGACAGTTCAAACAGATTGATAACAGTGACCTCCCCTTATACAATACCTGTAAACAATAATAAACAAGTAATTAATTTGAAAAATAAATTGTTATGTTATATTATTGTGTGTCTAACAATTATACCAGGCCTGGAGTTATAAAACTTTTTTCAGAGTTCTGTCTCAAATCTCAGGATTTTCATTGGGCAGAGTACATTATTTGTGGTAGTTTCTGACCAATCAAATAACTGAGATCTGAGTATGAGATTGGAGAATTCATTTATAACTTTGGCCTCAGGTGTTCAAGATAGCCTAATGAAGATACATGTATTGCATTTAACAGATGAACCAAATGGTTTGTCTTCAACTTAGTGGTACTCAACTAAGGTTTTTAGACATGATGGGACTGGAAATATTTTTTGAGACTTTATTATAATTATACACTTGTATTATGTAATTGGCATAATGCAGGCAATGTCATTTCATATCACTCACTAGTGTAGGATATCCAGTAGGGTAATAGTTTAACATTAATCAGAATCTAAATACACATGCATAGAAAAAAGTAAAGTTAAAGCTACCATCTCATAGGCTTTCTTTTTCTTTACAGATACTGGCTCTGTCAGTGTTGATACCCACTGAGAGGCAGTGACAAACACAAAACCTTCTTGTGTTCGAATTTTACCTAAAGGTGTAAGTGAGGCTCTGTGAGTTCTTCCCTGAAAAAAAAGAAAGCATTTGACATCATAGATTTTGGGAACTAACAAAAAAACCAACAACAAAATAAAACCAACCATTTATTCCATCCAAACTTAATTTGGATATTTTATTAACATCAAACCACAAATGTAATGCTACAGCAATTTGAAATAAGTTTCTTTCATACAATATACATTACTAAAAAATATCAATTTTCATTAAAAGTTTTAACCATGTTTGCAACAATATTTCAGTCATATAACATGTATAATGATTAAAGAATCTAACAGACAATCATTTCTTGGTTCTTTACCAAAAAATGTTTGAACCTAATTTTGTTGCAAGCAAATGCCAACTTCTTCAGCAAAAATCTTTTGTTTTATCAATTGAGAAAAAGTTGGCTTCATACTGTCTTCAGGTCAATCATCATAGCTCTACACCATGAATCTAAACTTGAATTCTATTATAACTCTGGGTACTGACCAACAGGTTTTTTTTAGATTTTTTTGTATAAAACTTAAAAAAGTTATACCTTTGCATAACAGGACAGGACTAACTTTCCAGGAGTTAACTGACCAGATTGTACAAGTTCCTTTAATGTTGGTAGTCCACCCTGCAACTGCCTCTGCAAAATAGACATTAGTAACTTTATTGCTTATGATCACAATTGACCCATATGTAATTACTAAAAACAAACTTGCAGTTTCATGATTCACCTATACAGATGCATTTTTTTTTATCTATCCCATCAAAAATAAATATAAATTTCTGTAATAGAACAATTAACATGATAATGATTATGTCCATCTGTAAGAGATTTAACAATCCATTACATGTTGTTTTTTTTGTTCAAGAAATCCCCCAACATACACCTCACAATAGTTTTTCTCAATGAATTGGGGAAAAGGCATTGAAAAATCATCCTAAACTTGCTCATTTTAGGAAGTAAAAAGCTGGTGTAAATTCAGATTTTACGGAAACCAACATGATTTTTAAGAACATTTCCATTGGGAAGAGGCCTGTGATTAGGCCTGTGATATACAAGATAAAAAATCACTGCCTTCCTAATATTTACTGTGGCTAAGTTAGCATGACCATATATTATTGAATTCAAAATTAAGTTAAAAACTTACTGTGATTCTGTCTGCTTTTAAAAACATTTATTTTCTAGTGGTTTAAAAAGGTTTTACCCGCCGGACCTTGGGTTTTAAAAGATTTTTGTTTAAGCAGTTTGATTCCATTTTTAAACCCGTAAATTGTTTTTAAAACCCTTTTTCTTTTCAGGGCCCCTTTTTTCTTTTTACAGAAACTCTTTCCTGTTGTATAAAATGCATTTTTAGCTTTTGACACCCGTTTTCTTTTTTAGTATGGCATTAACAATCTTTGTGACCCCAGTGCGTTTTTTTGAATTTCCCATTTCCAAACCTGTTTATCAAAAAACTTCTACCTTTTTTTCTTTTTCCCCTCATTTTTTTCTGAATTTTTCTTTTCCCCCTTGTTTAAACAACTGGTAGTTATCAAAATTTTAATTTTTTGAAAAATTCCACTTTTCTTTTCATTCTTTTCGAATATCCTTCACTTCACCATGAATAAAAAACAAAAAAGTTTTTTTTCAGGGGGGGTTGGGGGGCCGGTTAGGAGATATTTTAAATCCAAGTTTCACCGGGCCAGGAAATTTAGGGGGTGACGAAAAACCTCCCAAACATTTTCTGTTTTCTTGTCTAAATTTTTCAAAAAATCTTTCCCTTATTGTTTCACCCTTTTCTTTTTAAATTTTGTTTGATTTTTTCAACGGGAAAATTTTACCATCTGGTCTGTTTCCTTTGAAACTTTTTTTCCCTTTGATCTTTTTTCGCTTACAAAAAAATTAGAAGTTTAATAACATTTGGTTTTTTAGAAACTGAAAAATTTGGCTTTTCTTTATTCCTATTCCACCTTGTTTTTGCTCTAGCCTTCTAGATAAGAACCAATAACCTTGTCCTTTCCTAAAATTGTTTCTTTGGAAACTAGGACACTGATCCTGGCTTTTTTATTAATATCATCCCTTACCCAATATTCCCAACCATAACGTTTGCTGAGTTTTCAATTCAACTAGAAGGTTTGCTCGTAAGCAATTTTCTTGAACCTTTGAGCTTCAGTAATCATCCAAACTTTGACTTTTTTAATGCTTTCACCCTTAGGAGCAAACAGGACCAATTCCCTTTTCAAATGATACTTTTACCCAGAAATGCTTTCACAATCAGATGTAGAGGGTACCTTTAATTTGATTTTTCTAGCTGGTTTCATTCATTTTGCAATTTCTCCAGCCTCCATTAACTCCATACTTCATGTGAAATTCAGATATCTCATTATCAGACATATCTGCTGTTATATCTACGACATCACCACTGTCTGAACTGTTTCCAACTGCACAATCCTGTGAAATGACGTCTTGAGTGTCAGGCACAGTTGTTAAATCCTGTGTCAGATTACAATCTTCAGCATCTTCCAATTCTGTACCACCTTTATTAGTCACATCTGTCACTGTACAAGATACTTCATCTGCTTTTCCAGCTTTATTACCATTTTTCAATTCTTTTCCTAATGCTGCTTCCTCTTCAATATCCTTATTTCTAAGACCTTCACCCATGTTTTCTTTTGTTAATTTTGAATCCTTGCTACCTCTTCTCATGAAACAAACCTGCTTGCTTAGCTCTTCACTTATCTTAACTATATCATTATCTTTTGCTCCTTCACTTTTAGATTCAGTCTGACTGTCACCTATTATCTTTGTTTCAGATTCTCTTTCTGTGGACAATTTGTTACAAGTTTTACTTATGTGATTTCTCTTAAGATTAGTATTATTAGGTTGGATAATTCCTGATTTAGACACTTGTTTGGTTTCAGATTGTCTGCTCAGGTCATGTTTTTGGTCAGTTTTAAATCTAACATTGGGATCAGTTGCAATTTCAGATCTGTAATAAATATATCAGTAGTTATGTTCATATGACATGTCTATGGTACCTGGCTACTTTAAGGTATATTGAAATTTGAAAATAATAATATATTATTATGATTATATTATGCGATTATGTGACAAAAAATCTTACATGTTATTTAAGCTTTCATAAGCTATCTAGTTAGCTGCCTCATAAGAAAGAATCCAAAATCCCTGAACACCCAGTGGTGAAAAGGCAAGTGGTTTAAAGTCAACAATCTTAACCACCCAGCCACAAACTCCTCTAACTGCTTATATAAATTCATGTAAGAAGATAAAATTTATTTGTGACTAAAATTTTGTTCACCACTGTATTGGTAACTTTACACTTAATTTTCTGAAACTGAAAGTGATCTAAGCCTTAGCAACTAGTATAGAGCTAGCCCAGCTAGCACATACATGTACATGCAGTCTGACCAGGCTCTATTCTGTTGATGGACTTACACTTAGAAATTCCATCTTGATATCCCAAATATTGATAATGAACAATTCTAATAATGGAAGCTGGACAAACTCCTTTAGGAAATTCACCAGCTTAAGGGTTAAAAATATTACGATATGTAAATACCTTTTTCTTGATTTAAATAAATCAACTAAATATTTCTGTCGCTTGAGTAAACTAAACACCCTCTTCTGTCTCTTTCCAAAGTCACTTAGAGCAGACTGGTTTAGTTTTTGTGTGTTTAAATGTTGCATGGACTGTGACCCAACTTGTGACATTTGCAGCTTTTCAAGTCTTTGTTTCTCTGTCAGTTTCAGTAAACCAGTCTGTGTTGTCTGTAGAAGTCTTTTAAAGATTCCTGATGAAAATAAAGGGTGACAAATATAATTATGATGATTTTAGAAAAAAGTTGACATACATGTATTACTATATTTTATATCTTGAAATTCAGAAGAATCACAAATGTTAAACGTAAGTGGTAGTTTCTAAATTTCACCTCCATCTTAAAACACCTTGTCTACATTTCAATCATATAAAATTAATAATATCATAATCATATTCCAAGATCAAATAGAGAATATGATTTCTCCCTGATGTGGCACTGACAAAAGCTAAAAGCACTGAAAAGCAAGAAAGTCTATTTTTAGACTAAGTGACCTTGACATTAGTCCAATTAACATATAGGAAATTTTAGAACGGTAACCATTATATAATTGGGGGTAAATTTAACAAACTTATTAAAACACTCACTTCTTTCAGATTAGATGACATTAAACACATTTTTATAAATGGTGTTATTCATAACAAGGCATAATACAGTCAAACATTTGAACAAAGGCCATTTATAACTATAGGCAGAATATGACCTTTACAGACAAGTGGTCTTTATTTTGAGGTAACACTGTTCTATTTAATCAATGATAGGCTGACAAGGAGTGGCCTTTATTTACAGGGTGACCTTTATTGCAATCTTGTCTTTAACTCAGGTTTGGGTGTATGCTTAAAAGTTTGCGGGGGAATTTCAAATCTGTGCAGTTCCCTAAAATTTTCAAGATAAAACTTGGATATTTCTGACAGATTTGCTATTTAGGAAAAGACCTAAGAATTCATCTTTGATCAAATTAGACATATAAAATACAAGAGACATACCAGCATTGTCAGTGGTCGATTGTTGTTTCTTCAGTTTGTTGTTAAGACTATCTTGTAAACTTGTGATACACTGAAGAATGGTCGCTTCAATCACCATTTTCTGTAAAAGAAGATTTTTTTTTTATATTTAAGTATAAAATATGTTTCTTTTGGTTTGGGTTTTTAGTCACACTGACACAGTAATGGTCATATGACAATTTTTCCTCAGGCGGAGGAAGACCTCAGGTGCCCCTCTGTGCATTATCTTAGGTACTGGAGGGCATCTCTGAGTATAACCACCAACGTCCTGTAAGTATAGCTGGATCTGAGCTTTCTCACATAAAAGAATCCAAAGTACCTGGCGAGATTCAAAACTCACAGACTGTTGAGGAGCAACTGGTTTAAAGTCAATGATCTTAACCAAATTGCTAAGGGCACCCCATGTAACAACTGATAAATAAATATGCATATGTAAAATAAAATTTCTGAGATAAAACAGTATCACATATACATTTTAAATTTTAGAACAAAGGGGTTTTCAGATTATGGGGTTAACATTTATAGTGAAAAAACAACAATGGGACTTGACAATTAGAGACGAGAGTGGGGACCCATTAAAGGGAGACAAGTTCCACTGTACATATCTATTTATAAACAGTATTATCAAAAAACAACAATGTAGGTAAGGTAACTCTAAATATCAATATTATATTTACCTGTCTTGTAGAAACTTTGTCTAAGGAGGACACCAATCTGTCAAGTCTAGAAATAATTCTATCTGCTGGGTCTTTTTGTTCTGTTAGAGTTACTGCCCTTTGAGAGGAGACAACTTCTCCTTCAATATTGAGAGCATTGTCCACTTGTGAAAACGTCAACACATCCTCTTCGCTAGCAAATACCATCGGTTGTGAGAAAATGAATCCTTCATTCAAAGATGTGGAATCAATTTGTTGAGAGAATGAATTTACATCCTTCTGACTGGATATAACAGTTGCTTGTGACAGACTGATGTTGTTACTTGGAGATGTATGTATAAAACTAACATTTTCTCTGAAATCATTCTTTTTATTACCACCTCTAGCTTTTATGTTGTCTGTCTTTTTTGTCATCCACTTATCTTTCTCTGTATTGTTCACATTACTGTAGTTTGGTTCTCTGAGCATGTTCAAGTTATGAAACTCTGTCGGTACTTGTGGTAGAAGACTCTGACTCTCCTCAATCTGTTGACTCTCCTATCAAAATAAGTTATGATAAGCTTACTGAACAGTGGATGTGCTAATTTGTCAAAAGGCACAAAATGGTTAAGGTCTTTTAAAGCTTAATGACCAATAAATATGCTAATGTGTCAGAATGCACAAAATGGTTAAGCTCTTTTAAACTTATGACCAATGGATGTGCTAATATGTCAGAATGCACAAAATTGTTAAGCCCTTTAAAGCTTAATGACCAATGGATGTACATGTGTGAGCATGCATTAAAGGGTAAAAGCTTGTGTAAGCTTTAAGGACCATTAGTTGTCTTTAATTTGCCCTTACAAATACAGTTTCAATTCTTTCATTTCACATTTAACAAAAGTAGCATTTAAATTTACCTGAATTTCAAACATTGATTTGTTGGCAATGACTGAGGACTGGTTTGATATAACTGGTATAAGAACTTCAGACATTTCTGAGACACTGTCCTCTTCAGGTGATTTCTGTAAATTTTAAATATTACATTGTATCAGTTTTGACCTTATTATAATTATACAAGTTAACCAAAAAGATTTGGTTCCAGCAGGTAAATGGTGGATATTTTTTTCATTTTGAAGAATACCAATAAAATAACAATTAAAAAGTGATACTTTTTTGTTTGTTTAGGCAGCAAATATACATAGTATGTCATTAAAATAATATTATTTGAACAACAAATAAAATAAAATAAATAATATTGCTATTTAATTGATATATTTGATTGTTTGTTTCTGTACTATTAAAAAAAATCTATTTGGACACATATTTAAATAACATAGACAATACTGTATTTATACTAAAATTTTAAATTATAGCTCAACATAAAAGTTTCTGTGTAATGCCTTAACACATAAACTGTCAATGTTTTAGACAAAATAAAGTAAAATACCGTATAAGTACTTATTTCTGCGGGCTTAATATTCTGCGATTTTTGTTAAAATAAGGGGTTTTAAATTTCTGCGTATCTTATTTCTGCGGTGTTATCATTCTCGCATTGATGTTTTTTATTTCTGCGGTTTAATTTAGATATTTTTACAAAATTAACCGATACAAACAGACAACATTTCAAGATTTGTTGATGTAACATGTACATTACTTCCGGTAAACATGCAGACGACTTCTAATGTGTTTTATCGTAATCATCATGTATCGGTATATAAACATTAATAAACAAAGATTAACAACGTGCAATGACAACAATTAATTGTAATACTGCATGTGTATAAATATGAAGTGTGAAAAATAAACAATGGTAAAATCGCACGTAGACACAAGATATTGTACAAATACAAAAGGGTATGTTTATTGCACCCGTCAAACTATAATAGTTTTATTTTACAAAAAAAATCAAGCTTAGGGTGAGCGAAAATCATACAAACATGATATTTATTTAAACAAAAAGAACAAGTAAAGTAACTTTTTTTCTTATATTTTATTCATGACGGATACATACAGAAAACTTCCCATCTACAAAACCGATAACGGTACATGGTAATGTAATTATACAATACCGGTAGTTGACATATTCCGACATAGACATAGGAAAAGGCTTAATTTTCTGCGGTTTTTAAATCTGCGGTGTCCTTAAGAACCGCAGAAATAGCAGAAATAAAGTTCCCGCAGAAAAAAGTACTTATACGGTAATACTAAATAGGCACCTGTGTGAATTGAGCTGATTGAATGGGAACAATGGGAGACATGTCACTTCCATCTAAAACGGAAAATATAAATTTACCATTATCCTGCTTGATTAGCAAGTGATTATTTTGGAATTGACATTAATACCCTAAAAAAATCTGTTGACCAATTTAAGATGATTTAAAAAATAAAATATGAACACTGTGATGATAAAATACATAAGTTTTTATACACATTCGTTTATATAAGAATGAAATGGGTTATTTATTCATTTATGATTAATCATAAAACAGAGATTAGATATAATATGAATATGGTGATTTTTATCTATCTAATATTAATTAATTATTCTACATACTTTTACTTCATTTTGATTCTAATCAAATGCCGTTGTTTCTAATTCAAATTTCATCCACACAGTCATGGAATCTTTACTACCTAAATTCCCCTTCTGTACTTACTACCACAATATATTTTATATAGTTTTAATTATCTGACCATAATAAGTATTTGTATTTACCTGTATTCCAAGGTTTTGTGAGCTTGTTTCCATCGAATGACCTGAATGCTGTCTCACCATTTTCTCTGGAAAAAAATCATGATTAGTTCTATAAATTTTTTTAAAATAGCAGTACTGTAAAATTAATATTTTGGAGAAGCAATGTTAAAGCACTGAGTGATTAATAAATTCCAATTAAGTGTTAATGAATTCAAAGATTAGAATACTTCTGTGTGATTTTTACAGAATGCTCTCAAATTTTCACAGCAACTTCACTTTTAACAAAGTTAAATCAACTGGGAGGTCTTTTTAAATGTATTAAATTGTACTGCTGCATAAATCAGGTGTCTCAAATGGAAATTATTCAATAAAATATTACATCTAACATTTGCATTAATAGAGTGTCGCCCAGATGGTTACAAATAATAGGGCCTACAACTAATAGAACTATAATAAATTAGGGTATTACAATTTTCTGCTGTTTAAATCAGGTAAGTCTCTTTCTTGTGTTACATCACTTATCCTGGTAGAGCATGACACTATACTGACACTGTCACATTTGCTCCCGTCATCTGGTTCATTCATTGTATTAACTGTATTGTGTCTGACTCTAAGAAATTAACTGAAAAAGAGAGAAAAAGGGACAAGGATAAAAAGGAGAAAATAAAGAATACAAGTCACTCATGGTTCATACTAGTTCTCAAACATCGAGTTCATGTAAATGAAAATCACGTTTTTACATCAAATTAAATGTGAATTAATTGATGTTTGTGCATCGTATGGCTATGCAGTCTCCCTCCCCCCCCCACCTCATCACGCAATAAGCCATATTTCAGGAACTTCTCAAGTTGTGAATTTGATAATGTAAATGAATCTTTTAATCATAATCTGACACATGTAGACCTTTGAAAAACTGACATCAGTAGGAATCATCTTCACAAACGAAATATTCTGTACTCTGGTCAAAACTTGTTAACTTAATCATGTTAATCGAGCACGTCACCCGATTTTCATGAAATATAAAAATATGTTATTTTCTACTTGAAATGAAGTCCTTAAAACACAAGTCAGATCATTTTTAGACGTATTTTTGTTAAATTTACATTACATAATACGACAATAATTCTTTTTAAGCGATAAAAAATGAACAACTAGGGCCTACAACAAAATTAAAAGTTACCCAATCCTAAAATATTTTTTTGCAGACAGCGGTAGGATGCGTTCGATTATATCTTTAGTTTGCTTAGAATTTTAATCGAACGATTTGTAAGAAACTCGTGATCTAGGTAAGAACATAATTATGCTGCCGTATAATCTTTGATTTAAAGTATAATCTTTGATTTAAAGTTCCTACAAGAAGATGACCAATGTAGCTCTACTGTATGGTAAGAATGGTGCCTTAGATAAAATTTAACTTTTTGATGAATTGTGATTTAAAATACACGTATGTTTAAGAAGCTGCCTTAGTCTTATTTAGAGCTTATTTCAATTAGATTGACTGATGACGTGACATTTGAAATAAATGAGTAAAGAACCATCAGATGGAATTTTCACACTTCTAAAATCACAACAAGTAACTTTTTATAAAATAAAATGATTCCTTCCAAACGTTTCTTTTACCCATAACACCCTATTTTACTCACTTGCATAATGGAATGTCTATTTTATACTAAATCTACAGGATAACTCGCGCGATTTAAAGGTAATAACATTGGCATGATAATGATATGGCAGTAACTACTTTAATTATAATAACTTGTCACATATGAAACTGACACTTATATGAACATTGCTACTTAAAGTCTTTTCTTGTCTTTATGTGTGGTAATGATTCAATGATAACACCTGTCCATATGTATATTAATTATATATACTGAACTCTAACTGGTCCATCGGGGTTGCCGTATTATTTATAAACATTTATCATACATCATATTATCATATGCATACAAGAAATATACTTATACATATAAAGTGTGTACGAGTTGATTTGAATATTTAACTGATGCATTTACGAAACGCATTTGCAATACTAAACGTATGTTTAATTACTTTATATCTTATTCTTTAAACTATTCTCCTAGAAATACATTTTTCTAGTTCGCAAAGGCCGAAAAATGGGTTAATTCGTGGTTACAGCCACTCATGAAATATTTATTATGAACATAAATCCTGTCATCGTCGGATACCCACGGCCGAGCCATTAACATTGATTGCATGTTATGTGACATGTTTATCAATCGTGGGTATCCGACGATGAAATCCTGTATTTATAGGGAAAAAATGAAAATCATAAAATTATTTTACATTTGGGAGGAAATGATAAAACACCAACATCTTCGCCTAGAAATATATTAAATAGAATTCAAGCTATTGTTTGAGGACTTTAAAAAGACAAACAAGTGAAATATGTTTATGTAGGTAAAATAAATAAACGAGGAATTTAGTTTAGTTTATTTAAGAAAAATAATACAATACAAGAGTACAAACCATGATGACTTTAGCATTTTCATTGATATGTAGATAATTCAAAATAAATTTATTTTTGTTATTTTTAGTCAGTAGTATATCAGAATATATAAGACATTTTAAAAAAGTTAAGAGGTTCATTCACTTACACAATTACACAAGAAAAGGGGCAAAAGGTTGAAAAGAAAAGAATTAATAAACTGCTTTGGTAGCATTTTTCTCTGCATGTACTATTTAGAAATCAAACAATTTGAAATTAGATTTATCCAGCAATTTTCAAATTCTTCTAATGTATCATTTTGTAACGCAACAAATCTTTTAATTTTTAATCTGTTTAAAAAATCTCTTTTGAAGATACACATATCTGGAGTTTGTTTCTTTAATTTACTGTTATAAATGTAATATTTTGAAAAGAGAAAAATAAACGATGTTTTCTGATCTCTAAATAGCATGATAGATCATATTGAGGATGAGTGCAGTGCACAAGAATGATAACTCTACTTTGCATAGTTTTTCAGTTTTTGCCCTTTGGTATTTTTCAAACCTAATTTTGTCCAGAGCATTACTCAAAAAGCCTTTGAGATATCAACATAAAACTTCATGGGTGGATAGATCTCACTCAGAAGGTGTGCAGTGCACAAGAATGATGACTCTACCCTTCATAATTTTTTAGTTTTTGCCCTTTGTTATTTTTCATACTTAAGTGCAGCATAACTCAAAAAGTCTTTGAGATGTCAACATGAAACTTCTAAGGTTGATAGATCTTATTTATTGAGGAGGAATGCTGTGCACAAGAATGATAGCTCTACCCTTTATAATTTTTGAGTTATTGCCCTTTGGTAATTTTCATACTTTTTG